AACTCCAGATATGCCATATATGGAGGATCGATTTGTGAAAATAAGATCCAAAATGGAATTGCATGTCTTGCCAAATCTTGTTGATACTTTAACTGTTGAAGCCCTAAGTTTATAGACATTGCTTTCAGGCCTTTGGAAGTTTTATTTCATAGGGGGGTTATTCAGTGATCATTCCAGCATTAAACATGTTTTAACAGCTCCTTTATTTTAAGAAGCACTGCCTCCCCTTTCCTTAAAAATTGAGACAATGTTTCCTGAGACAACAGCTGCTGCTGTGTTTATCCTGCACTCCAAATTACAGCCTGATGACCGTCTTATCTTATTTATAAGAAGAAAAAAAACTGAGTCACCTACACTAAGATGTGGACACGAGTATGTGAGGCTAAAGAAAGTAATAATCCTTGGGTGTGTGTTTGTCCACAGTCAGCCAGATGGAGCTGTTTAATGTTGAAAAACTCACAAAAAAGTTCAGCTCTGCGATGAGCCAACAACAACACAGACAACCAAGAACTGACCGAGTCRGTTTGTTCTGTCCCGACTGACCACGAGTCTCACAGCTAACGGATTTCAGGCAGAGGAGACTTAAAAGAGTGAGTACCAAATAAAAAAAAAGCTTAGTGGAGAAAAGGGTCTTTAAAACACAAGTCAGCAAAGTCCTGAAAATYTGGGCCTAAATTTAGGCAGCAGTGATGGGTGTGGGCCGGGTGCAGCAGTGAGGTCATGGTGTGGGTGAGAGAGGGTGGAGAGTTTGTGACCAACATTTATTTGGAGTTGATCCTGGAGGAGGACCTTCAGCTCATTCTGCACATTTTAAATGTAAAGACTGCACTGGTTGTTTGAAGCAAGCAAAACAAAAACAAACAAAAAACAAATCTCATAATTGAGTAGGATTTTTATTGGTGTAATTAGTTTTGTGCTGATGTAAATAATTATTAAGTACTAGCAATAAAGGATGAAGGCATTGCACTTTATTTAAAATGAACTATTCTAAAGTGAAGCTTACCATTGCGATGAAGCGACCGATGAAGCGGAAGTATGTGAGGTGGTCGGGGTTGATGGAGGAGGCGGGGTTTATCTGCAGACAGTAGTTGTTCTTCCCGGCGTATTCAAACAAGCAGTACATGGGGTTCAAGACTTCGTGGGACAGCAGGAAGAACCACTCCCTGAAGAGTGACAGGACAGAGGATTACAGCACCGTGAAATCTGTACAATTCATCACATTACYCTGCAATAAAAACTGTCAATTTCATTAACTCTAGACCGATACAGAAAACAAAGATTCAGTTTAATCCATGTGAGCTGAGCTGAGCAGTCAWTGGAAGCAGAATAAAACACATTTAGCGCAGAAATGAAAGAAAAAGCTCATTTTAACAAACGCTGACAAAATTAAAGCATCACATTTAAAACCAAAAGAACAAAATAATCACAAGCTTTACAGAAACAATGAACAATTTAAACAAATTAACTACAAATTTGTCATATTTTTAAAGTAAAACAAAAAACATATTTTAAGCAGTGACTTAAAATAATCAACAATCTCGGTAGCTAGGCTACTTAGGGACCTTTTTTAACTTTCACCAAGAAATGTTTAAAAGCAATTTGTTTGAGCAAAACTTTAGTAAAATAAACTGGAGATCTTCCATAAAACTCTTAAAAACAAATAATGTTTCTGAAATAGATGAGGTGTGGTAGATAGATGTGGGGTATAATCATTCTGTTTCTTTTGTCAAAAGCAGAGCTGCTGTTTTTTCATTAACTTCCAGACACCAAAGTGATGCAATAAAGGCAAAAATTACAGCCTCAAGTCATCAGATTATAAACTTAACTCATCACGACAACTGAACTAATCTGCTTTTTAAAATTAAGCCTTAAGTTTCCATCGCAAAGACAAATTCTGTATTGAAATTACAAATAAAGTTCACTAGCTTAATTAAGAAGATATAAATTTCATACATGAATTACATGACACAGAACAAAAATTAAATATGGTAGATTTAAAAAAATGGCACAGTGTGGAAAGATGCATGTTAGAGTGAATGAACACCCTCCACCAACTGCAGCACCAAGCGCTCCCAGGGGCCCCGCCCACCCGTTAATGTGTACCAGGTGGGGAGAGAGTATGGACTGACGGACGGACGAACGGTGAGACGGACGCAGACACCTCCCAACATCCCGTCCGTGGTTCTACCCTGTGGTAGAACAGCATGATGTCACCTACCATAGGGTAAAACCACTGACGTGACACCAGAGACAGAGACACAATGTGAAACCAAACAGAAAAAATAAATAAAAATACCAACAGAAACAGTGAGGAAGACCTGAAGGACAGCAGACGCAGGGGCAGGATGGATACATGTGATGGGGGAGGAGGACAGAAATGCTGGAAGATGATGGGTTTCATGAGTTGAACAACATGTAAATTAGAAAAAAAAAATCTAATAAACCAAAACTATAACAAACATCAGCAGCTCTTACAAGTAAACCAGATAAAATCTTTCAGATTCAGACATTTTCAGAATGGAGACTTGTCACAATAAAACAAAGAATCCGACACAAACAGTGTGTGAATGAAGAGTCAGCTTTCAGGATCATTTTAACTTCTTTAGTATCTTTTTGAAATCAAGCTATTTTTGCATACTTTGTGTTATTTTCAGCATTTAAATATTTTAACATTCAGCTGGGGATTGTGGGCTATGACTTTTGTTTTTTGTAACTTTTATACTTCTAAAAATATTTAGCTGTGTTTACAAAATAATTTAATCAAAAATATGAATTGAGGTCTCGTTAACATCTTTAAAACGTTGTTCCTACTGAAATAAATGGCTTCTTTTGTGCCACTTTTAGCTTATAGCTCTGATTTAGCTAATTTTAGCTTGTAGCTATTGTTCTGTTAGTTCAAGCTTTAACTGTGGTTTTGCTCACTTTTGCATTTAGCTACTGTTTTGCTAACTTTAGCTCCTGTTATGCTAATTTTTTAGCATTTATGCAACTTTTAAGAAGGAAAGGCAAATATTTTGTTTTGATTCTGAACAAACTAAAAATTGTAGCTAAAGGAGTTTGTAAAACTGGCTTAAAAAACTGAAAATGTTGCCCTGAAAGCATCCAGTTTCTTTTGTTGGTTGAAGGAAAAATCAGATGAAGCTTTTCACTGAGCAAATCCAGGCTGTTGAGTTATAGTAGAACGCTAAAACTGTAATCTGAACAATATATTWTAATCCTATTTACCCTGTGTCTRTTCATCAGCTCATTAAATCTTTTARATCAAGACTGAATGTTGAATCCAGAAAAGAGTTGGTGCAGCGAACGAGAAGCAGCGGGAACAGAAAAACAAAACAAACCTTCACCAACAATAACAACATAAGCTTTTAAAAATCATAAACAGCTCAAACAAATCYCAGAAAAAAAAGACAGCTACAAAAACTTGACAGGAGGTGGGAAGAAACGAAAGCAGAGGTGGTTGTTTTCTCGCTGCTCACCTGGCGATGCCGCCGTAGTCCAGCCCCTCCTCTCCTCTCATGATGATGTAGAGCCGGCGCCGAAGATCGTACGGCTTTACGTTCATGATCTGATGAGTTTATAAATGACGTTAACATTTTACAGAAAACTAAGAGCATTTACAAAGTTATATTGTAGAACGTTAAAAACAATTACATCAAGTCAAAATGATAACACAACTGTGATCTTGCCCAGGTAAAAAAATATATATATATTTTTGTCATTTAGAAATTTGTCATCTGTGATTCTGCAGGAAAAAAGATGTTTAAATGCATTGCTGTCTGTTTCAGTCTGACCTGCTGAAACGAATCTTCAAACAGCGTTTGTCTGGACACAGAGATCTTCACGTGGCTCGGCAGGGCATTGGACTGCACAGAGGCAAGAAATAAACAGCTTAGTGGTCAAATAGATTCAGACAGTATAAAACGTTGGTGACGACTCAACATGTAACACTTACATGACACAGGAAACGAAACTGGTGGTATTTCCACCTGAAGCTGCGGTCGTACGCGCCTGGCGAACCCCCCTGTCGTGACCTACACACACACACACACACACAAAGAAAGCTTGTGGTCATTTCTACACAATTTTAAAGAAAAGTCTAAAATCATCAGAAATATGATCATCTCCACATTTCAGACAGAAAGCCCCTGCAAAGTTAATTTCACACCAACCATTAGGATCTGATTTAGTTTGTCTGGGGGCTCAAAGACAAAGGTGAGCTTGAGGCTGCAGCTGTGTTAGTATAAGCTCCACCAACATTTTGCACACACTGAATATGTGCTTTGTCAGCAGAAGAGAGCAAGTCTGAGATGCAAAATGAAAGGAAGAAAGAAAAAGAGCTAAATGATGGGAGAAACGGAGGAGAAGAAAAGTGTTGGTTTTGTGCTCGCAGRGCTGCCAGGCACATTTTGGTTTGGGTTAGGAAACGGAGACCGCAGCGGCAGAGCCTCGTCCACAGAAACACACACCGCTGCAAGACTCCCGAGTAGAAAACAGAGAAGACTCTTTCAGGAGCCTCTCGACGGCCGCCGGACTAAAAATACGAGCAAATATCACCAGGAAAAGCAGATACATCTCCACAAATGAAGTACACAGTGGCAACCGCACAAGCAAACACACATTTGGTGCCAAACACAGAAAAGCACAAACACCCACACACATGCCAGAGTCTGCAGTGGATCTGCTGCTGCTGCACATCTGCACATTATCCTGGGTTCTGCAGCGAGATTTGAGACTTCAAGGCAAAGCAAACATCCACAAGCTGAGAAGAGCAGTCTTTGTGTGTGTTTAAATTAACATGTTGCTATGATAAAATGTGTTTTTGATAAAACATTTGTGATGCTAAAGTTGATTCAAGTTGATAAAAATAACTGGAAAAAATGAAAGGCAGTGAACATGAACTTATAAAAAAAACTATGCAATAAAACAAAAAGGATTGTCTTTCAGATTAAGAAACATTTTTGACCTTTGTGACAATTCTTTTAGGTTTGAAGCAAACAAGAGAGTTGTAGGTAGTAGCAGTAGGTAAAGTAAATATCTAATTTGATTGAATATCTTCTTTGGAAGTCTGCCTCAATCTGTGACATCCATTAACTTCAGGAGGTTTTACAGGAAGGCCTGAGAGAGAATAATTACCCTGACTCAAACCCAGGTCTCGGGTCTTTAAAGGTGGTGGTTCGAGAGTTGTGGTCCACAAAATATCGGACTCCCTCTGCGGTGTACTTCATCTCCCAGCCAGGGGGCAGGGGGTGCTCCTTGATCATCCTGCAACAGGGAGAGGGGCAATGAGCACGGTCCCGATCGGAGGGGCCCCGTTCTGGGGAACAAAGCCAACATGCGTCCCCTGCCAACCTGCGGAGCTGAAACTCTGTGTGCTAAACACCACATTGAGATCATAGGGTTAGTTTTTAGCACTAACTGTCTTTGCTGGTGTCAAAAAATGCCCCACCGCGTAGCTAAATCATGCTTTATGTTTAATTATAGCGTCATAGAGCTAAATATCTGCTTAAAAAACTTTAATCACAACTAAAGATGTAATAATTATTTGAATATTCAATCTTCAACATCATGACTGAAATGACAACGAGGAGTGGACATGTTTGATCAAAGAGTTTTGAAGTTGAAAATGTCTTGAGGGCAAAGAGCCTGACCTTAAAAACAACTKCAGATTAAACATCCGTCTCTGGTAAATCAAATTAAATAAAAAGATAAACCCTGGATGTCTTTAAATGCCAAAGAAAGAAAAGGTGATCAAAATGAAATTTATATCAAACTTTAGTTCACAAAGGCTTCATAAGGTCTTTCAGTTGTCGCCGTGTTTATAATTTTCCTGGGATGTGTTGGAGTTTTAATAAATGTTCCTCTTTTGGAATATCATTCTGTTCAGTGGATCACACKTCAACATCTGTTTTTAATCGTGATGTGGATGACCAACTCTCTTCTGATGACCATAAGAAGGGCAAACACTAAAAGCAATGTACCACAAAACAAACAGGCAGGCACTGATCACACACACACACATACACACTTTTTGTCGCTCGCAGACTCACCCTTGGGTCCGAGGATCGTCCCACTGGGTTGTCCGTGTGTTGTGGTTGACAAAGTACACTCTGCCATTGTCCTGACGTTTCTCTGTGGACACAAAGACGTTAAAAAACTGGTTTAGATAAACGGACAGGAATCAGAGGGATCACCTGAGTGTCGTTCTTTTGGACGAAGTAGAAAAAAAAAGTCGCGATCACGAGACAAAACCGGCGCATTTGTGTGAAATTTCACTGTTACTTGAACAAATACTTCACTGAGGTAAAACCTTTGAGTGTAACTACTGTAATATAATGAAATGGCCATGCCACTAATAGCTAAAGTTTAAATAAAAAAGTTTAAATAAAGTTTAAATAAAAGTGTGTAGAGTATTTTCGTTTGTTTATGTGAAAGCAGTAGTCCATTAAGTTTCATGAAAGGTTAGCTGGTGCCCCATCCTCCTCCCTCCATCCATCGCGCTGACATCTTTTTCTCATTAACAGGAGTGTGCGGAGGGCCCAGAAACAGTAGTGCTCACATTGCAACCCTTACTAGCTTTACCCCCCCGGCCCCCCTTTACCATCCAGCTTGAACCCCCTTCAATTTTTTTCTTCATCTTTCTATCTTTTCTCCCATCTTTCTCTTTTTGAATCTAAACCTTAAAAAAAGAGGAGGGAAGAGACCGCAGAGAAAAAAAAGAGCGCGCCAGAGACGTAAATCGGAGCCAATGATATAATTGAGGTTTTCTTCTTTGAGGTACCGCAACATGTTGAAAAGGCATCATGGGCAGAGAGTGAAGGCTTTTGGAGAGAACAAGGCTGTGGGGATGGAGTTTGTGAAAATGTAAGTGGAGCGGGTGCTGCCAGCAGTGTTCGTTTATGAATGAATGTGTGTGACACGGCTCGGTATGGATMTGATTACATTACTCATTTGGGAAGATGTTGAATGATGAGACGACCCATCAATAATGCAGTCCCTGTAATTTGTGGACTTTACAGTGATAAATGAGGAGAGTAACAAACTGAAACTAAGAGAGATTTCAAACAGATTTTCTTTAACAGAATGAAAAATCTAAATCACTGGAGTGGAGACATAAATAAGTCAATTAAAGGCTGATTTGTTGACAGCAGACAGTAAGGAGAAGCATCAGGGAAATGAGACAAACCACACTGTTTTTGTTGTTTGGACAAGGCTTAAAAATAAAAGAAAAAGTGCTGTAAACTCAGTAATTCAGCAACACTTTACTCAAACCTCAGTCTCAAAGCTAATAGCAGATATGAAAAGCACATTTTTAACTTCATCAAAGAACCTGCCTCACTGTTGCTAATGTCAAGAGGGGCCAAAAAGACCAACAAACAGGATGAGTGTGGCAGATATAAAAATTAAGAGATATCAGAACCAAGGTGGACAAAAAATATTTCAATTATAAATAAGTTTTCTGCAGAGAGCAGATTTAGAGCGCAGGTACCGGAGTGTTTAAGGCACACTTACCCCATCCAGGAGGCAGCGGGCCCAGCGGGTCATTCTCCACCGGAGCTCCAGACGGCTGAGGGAGAAACAGAGAGAGAGACAACAAATCCAATCAGGCCACCTTTCTGTCACTCTTCTCCCCTGCGTTTTTCTCAGCATTTGTCCTCGTTTTGCAGCCCAGAGTGAACCTCTTCTGTCTGAAGACCTGGTTTCTTACTGCGGCTTTTGTGAAAACGTTTCAGGGAATAAAACTGAAAAGATGAGTTAGAAAAATGTAAGCAGAACCTACTAAATTACGCTTTTCCAAAGATGAAGTCTTCTTTTCACCTCTCTACCACACGATGTTGAAGTGTGTGAAAGGCAGGAGGCGGTGGTGGTGGTGGGAGGGGGTGGCTCCTCTCTGTAGCAGCATCGAGGGGTGACTGAGGGAGCTGGCCAGCCGGCGGCTTGAATGCTTCCAAAAACGACACGCTCGGTAGGAGGATAAAACAACAACGCTGTTCCAATGAGCTCACTGGCTGGATGCAAGCYCCACCTCCAGCCCTCAGCTTCCCGCTCAACACCTCACATACACCGCTCCGCTGCAGCCACCTCTCCTCCCACCACCACCACCACCGAGGCACCCCTACCGACCCCACCCACAGGTCCTCTTCCACCTCCTCCTTTCTCTAGCGCTGCTGTGAAACTAGGCAGGGAAGTGTGATGTCTGAGGGAACTGAGGGAACATTCATGCCTGTTCCAGACTGGACACCCCACCTCCTCTCCAGCCCCACCCACCCAAATTCTCACAAAAGGCACCTTTATTCATCCTGGGCCTGGAAACTGCTGTGGGGTTTACTCAGCCTGCACACACACATTTAAAACGCGTGTGCTCTACAGTGTGGAAAGTTTGTTCGTGGCAAACAGTCAGTCAGTGTGAATACACACCAACATGCATGAATATATTAGCAGGAGTGGAAAAGTAGCTCAAAAGATGCTTGTTGGGAATTAAATGGTAATGGTGAGCTTTCATGCTAAATGATGTTTATTAAAGGACTGCTCAAAAGAAACTTCAGCATCATAAACTTTACCACCAAGCAGAGTGCGGCCCTGCACAACCYCCAGTTTATGTAAAATGAATAATTATGCAAACATTTGTAAAAAAAAAAAATCTGAAACTGTATTTTTGACAGTTTTGGCACAGTTAACTATCATTTTCCCAAATAAAATCTGATGTAAGGTTTTTCTGTGACATGTTGAACTTAAAAGGTGGTCACTGTAATGTCTAGAAGACAGGTCAAAAAATAAATCATAAAGGAAGACCAAATCTGCACAAAAATGGTCTCATAAGTCCTTATATTAAAATTTAGGGGAGATTACTGAACGATGCCAAACATCAAGTCCGTTTGTTTGCTTACGTTTTGCCACTTCTTCCCTTTTTAAGCAGCTCTGTCATGGAAAATCTGAGGGTGTCGAGATGGAAAGGACTGGGCTGCCGAGGAGCCAGAGTGGGCACAAAATAGGGTTAAAGGGTGTGCGTGTGTGTGTTTCTCCCATCGACAGCCAATCTATGCCCCACCCGTATGGGCTTTCTGTGACTAAAAAAGGTAAAAGGAGAATATAATGATATAAAGACATGATGACTTCATCTTGGCTCTGACCATTCAGCTCCTCTGCAGCTTCCAGACAGAGCCAGGGCTGGAGGAAAAGAAAAGGAGACTGAGAAAACAAGGGAGGGAGAGGAAGCAAGGGAAAAGCAGCATGTTAGCACAAATACRTGAAGTAAAGGTTGGGTGTTATGAATTCTGGAAAGAATACTCCATAAAGGGTTAAGACATCAGAAAAACTGAGATTTGAGCTAGACTCTTAAGTTAGCCACAAAACTGATGGGAAAAGTTGATCAATGTTTTGTTGTAAAAACAACCTTTTTTTCTTGCAAAATACTGTAAGCAAGAACAAAACTTTTATAGTACAAAAACACGATGTCAGGGAGTTCACCAAAAATAATGCCTGCTCATCTGAGAGTTTCCAACTAAAACAACAAACTAATTCCAAACAGAGAAGTAGTAAAATTAAATATAGGTTTGACCCAATAATTTTCCTGTTTATACATTTCAGTTAGCGTTTAAAATTATAAATGAAAACGTTATACTGTATTTCTGTTTTGCAATCATCTATTCTGACCCAGAAAAATTAGAAATTTGTGTCCTAGCACATTTTTGTTTTTAAAGATTACATATTTTTATTTGTTTTTTGTAAAGTGCACAAAAGTACAACTAGATCCATTAAATTTCCAGCTAAGAAGATTGTTTTTTTCTATTTTTTTAGATTTATTTCTGAAAGCTTATTCCTCAAGAATTGTTTATTTGTTTTTTGAAAATGATACAAATCTGAAAACTGTTCAATATGCTTTTATATGACAGGTAATTTCCAATACATTCCAGATAAAATACTCCCAAAGTACAGAGAGGACAGTGTTTGAAAGAAAATAATAAAAACACCAGCATCTGCACAGTTTAAAGGCATTCTGTTCATTGTCCTTTCATGGAATAAGTGTCATTTATGGAAATGTGAGCGCTGACAAGTTGTGTGCACACAGGCAGTGTGGACGTGTGTGTTTTCTGAGAGTGATAAAACACAGGGTTGATTCAGGTGCTGCTGTTAAGGAACCCTTGTTCTTGCAGAAATAGACTGAAGGTTATAATTGGAGGAGAGGAGGAGGTGAGGGAGTAGGAAACTGGGGAAAAGTGAAGGGTGTGTGAAAGCTAAATTCACAGAGCAAATCAAGTGTGGAAGACACATAATAAAATAAGGTAGAAAAAAAGGATATCTGATGTGAGCCTGAATAAAACAAAGACATGTCAGAGTAACACAAACCAGGAAACAGAAATCTGAAGGGATTCTGAAGAGGCACCAAAACAATGGGGAAGGTTTAAAAGAAAGTGCACAACTACAAGAAAAGGAAGAGAAAACTAGCGGAGGGGGAGGAAATAGAGGAGAGATGAAAACAGCAGTTAATGACTTTAAGTCTGCCCTTCTAACAAGCAGCAATTACTCTGCAAACACACATTTGGACCTCTATCTCAGCAAAAACTAAATCTACATTGGTCAAGGTTTTCATGATTAATGTCGTAATTAGTTCCACATTAAGGTGCTCAGGCAATAAAAGTGTCACAAAGTAAAAAGTATAGAAAATACATGATTTCAGGATTTCTAAAGGTCTTTTAAAGTTCTTCTCAACCAGTTGGCTGCTTTTTTCACACATTTTCTGTTCCAATCTTAGACCATCGCAGTATATTGTGCAGTATTTAAAAACTGAGGAAAGTGGGAAAATCGAAGACAAAAGAAGAAATGTCAGGTTTAGCAAACCTGTCTCTAGAAGAGGATCTGAAAGTCATGTCTAATATAGACAGAACAAGGCCTGACAGAAATATTATCCTTTAGTTGATCCTCCTGTATGCCAAGTTTTATTTTTTATTTTTTGTAGTGCTACTTAGCTGACATTTTTAATAAACTTGCCTAAATGGAAATAAACCGTTTTCTGCTCAAACATGCCTAAAAACCCAATTTAAAATTAGTTCTTTGTTAAGATATGTGTCAAACAACACTGGTTAATCATTTGAGTTTAGGAGCCTTTTTATGCTTGAATGAATCATAGGTCAGAGTTAAGTGATGTAAGTGATATTCATTTTAAAATGGACAGAAGCTGAACAGAAAATTAGTACAAATGCAGCCAAACTCCTAATAAAACATTTGAAAGACCTACAGAGAGCTCAGAGAAAAACTCAACCAGACAATTTTAAGATATTATAAAAAATGGCTACTTGGAAGAAAAATCTAAGGAAATTACGCCTGACTCGAGACTTTACACAGTTCTCTATTCAGGTGTCTCTTACACAAATGCCCTGGTCTCCTTTGGCAGTCATGTGCTTTACAATAAAAATGTCACGCCTGTTCTCAACATTACGAACAAATGAAGTCAAACACCAAGGTACTACATCAACATAACCACAAAAAGAAAAAAAAAGCTGAGTGACAATGTTTTCATGGTGTATTCACTGTAAAGTTAACATTCATACAGCCTTAAATTTAAAATTTACAATATTTGATCATCACAAGTTCACCCACAAACCCCTCCGAGTGATGGGGAGGAATGGCTGTGGAAGCGTCAGTCAGGCACTCAAACATGCTGTCGCGTTCACAGAAAAGCTATGAGGCTTTTTGTGCGTTGTTTCCTTGTTCACACACACTGGGGCCATAAATAGTCACCGCTATCAGCAATGTGGACATTCCAAGACAGAGCAGTGTACAATCAACAAGACCTGCCTCTTGGCTTTTTTCACACACACAGGCTGAAGGAGGGAGGAAACAAGGGAATAGGAAAGAAAGAAGTCTGAGTGCTGTAATAACCATTTTAGTTTCTTCAATTATTATACATTTTTCAAACAAATGGTCTATGAAGACAGTGTTGGGGTGAAGTGTACACATAAAAGTGAGGCAGAGAATTAAAAGAATTTCAAAGCACTATTGAAGACTAAAAGATTAAAAGAAGATAATTTTTGAACGAATGGATTGGGTTAAACATTAAACCAAGGACAAGCCTTCTGTAAAGGACAAACATAAAATAACTTTACACCYGGATGCACACAGAAACAGCCTTGAAATGCAGGAAAGACAGAAAGAACAAAGACGTGGACACACAAATTTAATAAAAACTAAATCACTCGCCATAAAGAGCAGGGTGGGGTAATTTTATTGAAGCCTGTATAAGTTTTAAGACTGGTTTTTACTAATGGTCCTTGAAAAAGCTCTGTTGTTTCAATCTGGCTGCAGTCTGACCTTGGCAGCTTAACTGAAAAGAAGGCGACTGTAAGAGAGTCAGACAAACCCCAACTGACTCCAGTGAAAAATCACAATGAACACGTTTTTTTTTCTCCCTCTACAGCCAACAACCTCTGACAGACCTTCACATGTGGTGCTGAAATAAACTGAAAATGTGAYGCACATTGTCTTGGAGGTAAAGCACACACGTTGCTGTTGTTTAGAGTTTTCCACGCTTCAACTCAAACCAGCTCAACTGAAAACAAAGTTAAATACTTTACAGGAAATTTTGAAAGTTTTGCTGTCAACCCTGAACACAAGTATGGTTCTTATAGGAAATCTGTTTTTTTCCCTCTATTGTTTATGCTTAAATTAGATTCCATCCTAGGTATGAGGTACAGATGTTGAAGGAAACAATATCCCTATAGCTGAATCCTAATTTGAACCTTCGCCTTTATTTATTAGTCCTACCCCCATTTTTTGCAAGAGAGTGCTAATTGATTATTGAAGTTTCAAAGTGAGCATTAATTCCTCGCTGTCTTTAGCTTAACTAGACTAAATTTTTTGTGCAGTCTACATGTGAGCCAGCAAAAGCCTGGAGTACCTGGTAGAGGAAGCGCTGGCTGAACTGGTGCATGGCACCCTGCAGCTGGCTGCGCTGGCTTTGCCATTGCTGATAGTTGCGCACAGACTCGGCCGTGGGCCTCTGCCACGTCGTGGTTCTGGTGTTGTGGTCCACGTAGTAGAATCTGCCCCGCTGGTCCACACGCTTCTCCCAGCTGGAGGTTGTTTGAGGGGCACACAGAAACAAGGTGGGAGTGAAAAAAGCTGCAGCTTTCAACAACATTTTTATTAAGCATGTGAAGAGTGGGTGGTTCTATCAAAAAGTTGACGATAATAGCACTGATTTATGGAGAGAAGGAAAAAGAAACAAGGGCAAGAAAAGGAAAGAATCCATTAAGAAGAGGCTATAAATGAGTGATAGCCAAGAAAGGAAAAGGAAGGGAAGGGATCCTGTAGCATTTACTAAAGTTTGAGACATGTTTCACTTTTTTCTATCATTCAAGGCTTGTATTGTGTTCTTACATGGTGAGCTTTTTCCACAGAAAAAAAAACACACACCTGTGGGATGAGTCGTTTCTATCACAACATACAATGTACAGGGCTTGACATATTAATTTGCCATTACTATTGCCTAAACTTCCTAAGCAACAGCCAGCCATCAGTGATGAAGATGAGAAAAATAAGAATATACATTTTTCATTGACAATAGCCATGTACAACAGTGTGCATTTGTTCACCATATCCTAATTTCCCCCAGAGACAGGAGGTCTGGACATGAGTTGAGATATCAACACAGAAACACAAACACATGCTCACATAAAGAAAGGTCACGAACACCCCCGCCACCCCCCACCCTCACACAGAGACCGGTTCCCGGCGCACACCAAGACTGACTGCTTGTCTGCTGCTATTCTCATATCTCTGACTTAAGCTCTGCAGAATTTAGAGGAGAAACAAGCATCAACTTCCGTTTACTGACAAAAACAAAACAAAAACACTGCAGATATCAGCAAGCTTCAGAAATCTGCATCAGCAGAGGTATATAAAGTACTTGAAAGAAAGAGCCACGTACAAGTAAAAATACCTTAAGAGAAAATTACTTTGCTAAAAATTACGACTTAAAAAACTACTAAAATTACAAATCCTCAAAACAGGATTTAAGAACTGCAACCAAGTAAATGTACTCAGGTACTATACACTTCTGCCTTTAACCTTTCATAAATGAAGTTTTGGGGAAAATAATATTTCTGTACAGCTGTAATTTAGTCACTATTTGAGGTGGAGTAAAACATACTGCACAGAGGAGCTCACTTAAACTCACAGTTCCAGTCTCAGTTGGACTGTGAAGACAGGCTTCTAGTTTGTATGACCTTCCCAGTGGTTCAAGACCTCTGAACAGATTCACTTTTGTTGCATCAAAGCCATTCATGCAAGCACGCACGCACGCACGCACGCGCACACACACACTGTGCTTTCGGTGTGCAGGAGAAGATGTGAATGTGTACCTCAAAATACCTGAAAATTTAGCTTCTACTTTAGTACTTAAGGGTATATGCCTTTATTATCAAGCTAACAGAGGGAAAAAAATACATAGTGACAAAAAAACCTGTTTAAAACAGAAACTTCACAAGAAAAATTAAATTTTTGTCATCGAAGTTTGCATTCGTGCAAAATACAACAATTCGGATGTTTYTGACACTGAACATTTTGAACTTATTATTCAACAGCACCCTTGGGACTGGAACGCTTCTATATCTTAGTGAAGGACACTTGAGCAGTRTGGATAATTATAAACAGAGTTATTTGGGTGATAGAATGCCTCTTTGGCCACTATGTCTCTGTGCTTCTTACAAACTCAGCTCAAACTCAGTTTCTTCTCTTTTATTATTGACACTAGCTACTTATTTACTGGAGCCAGAGAAAAATCATAGAGCCCACAGTGGCCTGCTGGTTCTGTATGCAGTTATTTATCTGATTATATCTTTGTACCAGTCGTGTCATTAGCGATCCACTTCATTTCTTTCTTGGAACTACAAGTCTAATCTTACAAAACCAAGAACTGCCAGTTTAAGCTCAAAGTCTGTCTGCAATCCTTTCTGGATGCTCTACTCATTACTCTACGAGCCTGTCTTATTTGTAGGATGATACAAACTAAGCAAAATGACATGTCGCAAGTGAAAGTTTGAATAAAGTTGCATCGTAGCTTAAAAAACTCCTCTAAACATTAAAGATAAAAAGAAGGAACCGTTTTCTGCAGAAYGTCAGAGCATTAATAAATAACAACAACAAATCACTTTACTTTGTTTCAGCTGTTGTCACATATACTAAATTGTATCCAGAAACAATTTTAAAAATAACTTGTATACTACAGTAAAACTTTTTTTTATTTTAAACTACATGCTACAGAGGAGCAGCTGTGTTTTTAGACATCTTCTATGAAACATATTCCTGCTATTTTTAAACTGGACGAAACAACACCAAACCCACGCTAATGGCTTTTGTCTTCAGAGCCTGACGTTATTGCCTGGAACCGATTCATACCCAAAAAAATGACCACGGTATTAATAGCTTCAGCTCTGAGTCGACCATAGCTTTTCTTTTGTCAAAAGAGAAAATTAAGGTCACAACTGAACACACAAATGGGCAATTTTCACTCCCACTTTGCTTTTGGTGGTGCTCGATAAAAATCTGCTACAGTTAAAGTGTTGCAATGAGTATTTCACCAAACTGCACATGTTGTCAGCTCTCAGCTTTCCTTTAACTCCCACAGTCCAGTCAAAAATATGCCTTATTTTCACATTTTTTTAAAGGTCATGCTTTTTAGAAATTGGTCAACCACAACCCTGAGAATCCACCCTGGTGCCATCTCTCTGTATTGAGGTACAGCAGCTTGCRGAGTTGTCTTGTGGCAGAAAATATCTGGACAGAACTGAAGTCCTGTGAGTCGGTGTGAGCTCTCAGAATGCAGTGAGTGATTTAAACATTTTTTAAACATTACTTTTGCATAAATACTCATTTTTGGTGCAAAAAGACTTGGCAGTTCACATTAACAGGAGTGCTATGACACAGGACTTAATTCATCTATTTCACTAAATTCAAATGTGTTTTTGTGTTTCAAACTCTCAGAGATGTTAAACCTGCATGGCATCTCAGCCTTGTTCTTGATTTATGACCAGTAGCACTGATGGATTTACTTTTCAGTTTGATTTATTTCGAACTGATATAAATGCACATTTGAAAGAGGCATTTACTGGAATCATCAGATCTTTTGTTGCACCACAGAACATCATTTACTTAACTGATTAAAGACAAGTTTACATAGGAAAAAAGAAGAATACTATACGTTGTGCCTTAATGTATTACAGAAATAAAAAGCATWTTCTTGAGAGACGTTCTAGAGAAAGACAAATTGAATTTCAACACAAATATCTGATGGTTTGAGGCCGTATCCTGACAGCTCTGATTAGTAGAACTTGGATTTGTTCAGCGACTCTGCATCAAACAAAACAGAAAAAGTGACTGTTGTGCAGAAACACCACAGCCACTTTAAACCACAGCTCCTGATTACTGATCACAGCTTTGATTGAGTCCTACAAAAAGAAACAGCTCTTTTCTTTACTCTGCTCATTTCGTCTTAGAAAATCACTGCTACACTTTGGTTTGGCAGAAGWGCTTCAGTTCTAGGTTGGCCTTTCTTTTCTACTCAGGACATCAGAGAAGTCATAGTTTAGTTAAAATGTAATAATTTTATGCTTTGAAAAGTAGTACTTAATATAACCACAAAATGTAGCTTTACAATCTCATAACTATTGTTTGTCTAAACAATCTTGTGATAAAAATGATGTAATGGAATTGAAATATTGTGTTGGGCTGGTTTTGTGACAGGCTCAYGAGCACAGCTTGACGTGAAGACGGCTTCAATATTTTTTCTGAAGTTCCTGTAACTGCAGGAAAAAATGTTTACTAACTCCGAGAAACCCAAAAACCAGAGCGGTTGTGTTTGTGATGCATTTATGCGCAACAGAACATTTGATTAAAACGATWGTAACTCATAAGTTCTCCCTGTCCTAGCTTTGGATGGCTTTCATTATTTCAGTTTCCAAACCTCAATTGCCCATCWACCCCCACTCTGCCTCTAAACAGTTCCTGGTGTGTACATCTGGAGCGTTAGCCCAGTATTAGCTTGCTAATTGATCCTCTGAAGGGCCATGGCAGCCAGCACAGTGGTGGATGGAGGTACATGTGGCACTAAGAAAGGACTTTTGTTCTCCGGGCCCCAACACTCCTGTTCCTTGTATGGAAAAACTGAGATGGGGGGTAGAAGTTTGAAGAGAAAGAGGGAGGGGTGTGTGTGTGTGTGTGTGTGTGTGAGCGTGTGAGAGAGAGACCTTTTCCTAAAAACGGGCCCTTTTTTTCCTCTCTGTCACACACACTGTGAAAATCAATAAATAATCAGGCCAAGTAAAAATGTCATGAAGGGGCTGAACCCTGGCAAGTCCAAGTGCTCGAGGAGGAGTGTTCTGGTGCCGGCTTAGCAACAATCAAACYGCTCGATTGGGGACTAGTCTCACTGTAATGTGTGTAAATATGCCAGAGAATTATTTTGTTGCCCACCCCAACCAAAGCAGTAATTTATTTTACATCACTCTGCCCATTTTTATACACAATAAATAAGAATTTCTTGCACAGAAGGTGCAGGATTTGTAAATTTACTACATCTTGTGATCCAAATAGTTACTCACATATATATATATTTTTGTACTTGGCTTTTGGATTAGAAACTCAAAAACAAATCCCACCATTTTCAGTCCACCACTTGTTTATCAGCTACTGTTAGTTTTTAAAAGCTTCAAATTGGGTATTTTTTTAATGAAAGTCAAACATATCAGTTCACTTCATATGCTTGCCTTCCTGCAGACAGAACTTCTTAAAGTCAGTCAGCTAACCCTCATGTGGAGTTTCTATAGAACACCCCCACTTCACTCACATTTATAATAAAAATGTATGAAACTAAATACACTCTCCATCAAAAAATGGATTCATGAGTTTTTTTTTAAGATAGACCAAATATTATCTCTAACAACATAYTTGACATTAGATCTATTTTGGTACCACCCGTAAAGCAGGAACTTCCTGAATGAGGACAACTATGAAAGACATGACCACCTGATTTTTAAAATCAAATGTCAACCATCACAGTTTAATCTTGTCCAAGCTAATTGCAGTCAAAATAATCAATGTGTCAACAGAAAATAAACAAACAAAAAACAAATGAAAAATTGTAACGGGCATACCCTGGTGGCAGTGGTCTCTCCCAAGTTGTGGTTTTGGTGTTGTGGTCGACGTAGTACACTCTGCCGTGAGGTAAAACCCGCTGCTCCCAGCTGCACGCAGAGACAAACACACACGTTTACTCAAACACTGAACACGTCACAAAAACCATCTAAGATTTCACATTCAACACAAGTAAATATAATTATTCTGAGAGGACAGGAAGTGCCTCACATTATCTGCTTGTTATATAATGATTGTACATTAACATGAAYAGGGAGGAGCATTGGAGTATTAACACTCTAGCTGTCTAAATCTGTCCTAATCACCTGTAATTACTCACTTAGGTTATTGGGTAGTAAGTGTTATTTGGTACATCTCATTTAACTTTACTAGCCATTTCTGGGAGTTTTTCTTTGCCTTAATTCACCCTATTAAAGCTGAAGAACTGAAAAAGAGAAGGAGAAAATAAATCAATCTAACTGTGTCTACAACTCATTTTCTCCCATCTAGTCTGTAAACAATCATTTTTAACAATACAAAATAAAATCACTGGTTTCCCTGATAGTATACCAGGTTTGTGAATTATTATTTTACAACATAAACCATCATATAAAATTAGATTCAGGTGAAATGTAACATCATTTACTCCTGCCTTTAAATATTATTGCTCTGCATGTTGTGCAGCCTTGAAARGCTATTTTGACGTCACATTAAAGGTTGCTGGCAGTTTCCGTGGAACACCTAAAACATTATTTACAGCTACAAAAAGCCACACACCCTAGTTTTACTACTATTTGAACAATATAAAGGAAATGAAAAGTTTTAGTATGAATGGAATCACGTTTTTCTCACAGTTTAATTTAAATATTTGTGACATATTTATGTGCCCAATGAAATTGCATAGCTATGTCTGACTACGTATATGTAKAGGTCCCAAAAACTGTAGCACGTTTTGTTGGAACATAAATAAGCTACATCACCAAAATTACATTTAAACTGAGTGTAGGGATGAGTGATATGACCAAATGCATTTATTATAACAATAGTTTTGGAGCTTAATTAAAATATGTGATAATATATTGAAATACTATAAGCCACACTTTAGTCATGGTAATATTGTATAATTAAAAATTATAACAAAATGTAGTAATTAATTTTTTTCATTTACATTATTTCTCTGACAATTATTCCCTCACCTGGATAAAAAACTAACTTTACAACCATCTTCACATAAGTAACTTTTAATTCAGTCCAGCATGAGAACAAAAACTAACCATCATATTTGACTCAATACATTTCCCTGAGTGACCAGACTTAGTAGAACTTAGGCATCATGCAAGATTTGGTGTAAATGTATGCTGAAACCAAGCTGTTTTAGTCAAACTACTGTTTCAAGGCAAAAGGCAAGACAAAATGTTTGTTGATAAAGATAATTTAGGTGAGAACCCAGCAATAAAATACCTTAAAAATGTATGTAAAGTGTTTGTTCTGTGAAATACTGCTTTTTTCTTATGTTTTTTTGTATTAAACCTGATTTTCTTGTAGCATTTTCTAATGAGTCACTTCTTGCATTATTTAACTAAATGTAAAAAGGTTTGTGCTTGCTGCTCATTTGTTGCTTTTCTAGCTGTAGACCCATAAGACGCAATGGTAGGACTGTACATCACTATAATCTAAAAGTATCAGTTTGAAAACTCTGAAATGCCATTCCTGAGTTATCTTTTAAAAAATAATTCTGTATGAAACTTTGAATATTTTAAACKGCAACCCTCAGAAAAGTGAGCTGCTGATGTGATTCTTACCCTGCCGGGAGTGAGTCTGTGGTGGACTCTGCTGTGTTGTTGCATGCCTGCTCCGTACCGGAGGTGGCACTGGGACTGGGCTCCATAACTGTGGCTGGAGCCAGAGCATCCTGACCAGGAGAGGGGCTACTGCTGTTGCTGCTGCTGTTGGCAGCTGGAGATCGGCCCGACGGGGAGGATGGAGGAGGTGTCTGACGAGCCACGACTCCATGACCGCTCTCCACCCCATTAGGTGTCAACTCAACTTTGTCTAGTGCAGTGGAGAAGAAGACAGGAATGCAAGGAAATGTTTTATAATACAGAATAAAAAAAAGCAAGATGTAATCATATTTACCACCAAAAATGAATCCTTTGCATTTATGTTTCTAAAATAGTACAACTTTTGAGATTTCACCAGACAACAAACAATGTCTCACTGCAATAACATAAAAATCAACCTCATTTGGATCATTTCTATATAGATTATTAAGTTTAAAATKTAGAAAACTTAGTGAAGAGGTGAGCAGACTCCTCACCTGCAATGTTTACAGGGCTGCTATGGCTTTTTGAGGATTGATGTCGACCAGATGAGCCGGTCCCCGGGATCTGCTCCTCAGTAAGGTTCCCATTGGTCAGAGATCCCTCTCTGGATCCCCCCAAAGAGTCTCCCTGTGGACCCCCCATTGAATGTCTGTTGTTTCTGCAAATGAAAACATGTTAGGTGAGAAGATGAAAGAAAATGAAAAGAAGAAACAAGGAAAGCAACAACAGAATCAACCTCCACATCAARATGTAGAGGTTTATTTTTCTCTACTCTAATACCAACTGTTGTTTCTGACCCAAGGCTGGTGTGCAGGTGCAAATATGATCACCAGCAAACCAGCACACCGAAACACAATCAAGAGGTGTCAATGTTGGCTACYTTTCCTTTTGGACACCTTCATATTTCCCCAGAGCTAAATATAACTTTGCTTTAACGTTGAGAACTTTCATACATGTTGACTTTCTGCTCCAAGGTTGAGGAATGTGGCAGCTGTGCTTCGTCAGCCACGAAGAAAACCAGATTCGGGATTTTGCTGGTCACGTGCCACAAAGAAAAAGGATGCAACAATTCATCCTTGACACTGTATTTGTATGTCACTGTCAAAGAATTTATTTGTGTGGGTGCTTATCGAAGCTTAAAAACATGCGTCAGTTGGAGACATGTGCTCCTGCACAATATGAAGCTGCTCACTGCTTCTCCRTGACAGCAGCGGTTTGAGCTCTTGGCTGAACTGCGAGTAATGCCCCCCCACATCGCTCAGAAGGAAATACCATCTGACCTTGTGCACTCCCACAGCAAAGCTTTGAAATAAATGCAGCCTGCTCCACTATTTATTATCCCACTACAATTCAAGCCAGCGAGAGCAGCGTCTGAAACCACACTCAGCGGGGAATAACATGCTAGCACTCTGCGTAATGCTTCTGTTGACCAAACTGGCACTGGACTCGTTAATTTGAGTCTTTTCTTTTCTTTCTTCCATTTATTTTTCATACAGTTACGTCTTGAGTTCATTTTTTACATAAATGCTCTGCAAACAAAATTATAGAAAARGGTTTCTCAACTTTATTTTTGTGCTATTATTCTTATTATAATACCACAAGGTCTGCAGAGTTTTGAAACCAGCGATATGAAAAACGGTCATGGATTATGATGCCTGAAAAGCAATATTTTTTGTCTGTGATTATGGTAATAAAAGCTGGCAAAGATTTCAGCTCATTCTCAGACATGTGTAGCTATTTAGAACTATCTCTTGGCAGACATGAAACTTGAAATAGTGGGAGAATTTCCCTTTTGCATAGTGTTTGTTGGTTATCTRTAGAATACGCACAAATTCAGATAACTAATTCAAGCATCTTAGTACAAACCTTAAACTTTCAATTCCCAAACAAAATAAAACAAAAATGTGATATTTCTTTTAATTATTTAAAAAAGGGAACACGACAGCACTCTAAAACATTAAAAATAGCATACTCTGAAATTGCATTTTCCCTGTATTTTGTCTTCAGAGAGTAAAAAATGTCTGAATTTAACTCTGTATGTTCAGACCTATTGTGTGATCCAGGACTAGGGGTTTCCTCACTCTGTGTCCTCCTCAGATTGGGTCTGTCAGACTGAAGTATCTCTGTAACACAAACACATCACCTCTTGAATAAACAAACATGAATGCAAAATACTATAAGTTATAACATTTAGTCCATCAACCTGGAGTAAATTGTGTTAAATTAAGAAAGAGAAGCTAAAAGCTAATCTGATAAAGCTAAAAGAACCAAAACATTAGCTAAAAAGGGACACAGCACTAGATGAGTTAAAAGCTGAAAGTAGTAAAATGCTGGTAAAATACAGCAAAAAAGCTGAATATTGTAAAATGTTTGTGGAAAAGTAGCAGAAGGCTAGCCAAAAATAAAAGTAGTAAGGGGATAGTTAGATGCCAAAAACAGCAAAAGAATAACTTTAAGCTAAATGTAAGAAAATGTTACATGTAAAGCAACAGTAGCAAAATGGATGTTAGAAGCTACAAGTACCAAAAGGGTAGCTAAAAGTAGAACTGTAGCTAAAAACAGCATAAGAAAACAAAAATAAAAACCAGTATGCTTAAGCAGATTTCACCAAGTACAATGTTTTGTAAAAATGTGTAAAGACATCAATGTATATCTATTTGAAAATAATATAATTTTTATATTATAAAATGTATATGCTTCAAGGCCTCAAGGCTGATGGGAGTTTGACAAACTAGTATTAGCAAGCACAAAGTCAGAATAAAAAGTTTCAGTAAATCATTACTCAAGCTTTATCCTTAGGCTATGGTTGTGAGCAAAATTTACATTAGAGCTACGAAAACTATATACCATAMGTCATCCCCAAATTGCTGTCAGCAGTATTCTTTTCTTTTATTTAGGCCTTAAAATCAAAGTAACCCTGGAGGTTTAAAGCCTGATGATTTTTAATCATTTTTTAAAAGTGTCTGTCAGCTGCTCTGTAGCTCGTAAARTGGAAGAAAAACATACATCACATTTAATTTTGTTTAGATGTGATGTTATAGGCAGCGCTGAGTGTTTTCTGGGATTTTTGTAGCAACATGTTCATTATATTTTTTTCTCTTTTCATCCATTCTTGTCATCTCTCTGCTGTCAGTGTAGTAAAAACACATAAAAAGAGGGGAGTTTACAGTAGAGAGAGAGAGAGAGAGAGAGAGAGAGAGAGAGAGAGAGAGAGAGAGAGAGAGAGAGAGACTTCTAAAGACAAAAAAAAAAGGTTTTTAATAACACTAGGAGAGGCTTTAAGCAACAAAATAATTTTCCTTAAAACCAGCATCAGTTCCAGTCTCTCCTGAGAGGATTTACTGTCTCCTTGAACAGTTCAGGGTTTACTCGTCTTCCTCACAGCTGTCGAGGATGAGAAAATGATCACACGGAGGCTTGGACCACTTCACGTTCATAAAAAAATAATAAAGTCCACACAGCCTTAACACATGTGGCAGTGGAAATACTGTTAGTGGTTTAACGCAGACCATTCATCCTGGTGTGTACTATTAGTCTGTGCTGGTTTGTGTGTGTAGCGGCGTGCGGTCTTACCGGTGTGAGGGAATGTGTGACTTACGGTCCCAACTGTGACTGAAAACCACAGGTCTGCAACATGTTTTTCATTAACACTAACTTTCTCCTTTACGTGCAAAAACACACCGTCATCCAGCGAGAAAGGCGCTCATACCGGAGGTGGGTGCCTCAAACGGTGTTCATGTTTACACACGTACAGTGCATCCAGCTATCTAAAGTAAAGCAAACAGGTACGCTTCTRCAGGCTCTTTTGCATAAACACGCACACACAGAGTTCTGTTTTGTGGCCATGAAAGAGCTTCTTGTGTGCAGACCCAGTGGACACAGAAAAATAAACAGCGGCCTTGAGGAGAAACCATTGTGTCATGGCCCGCTAACTGAGGCCATCACCCCCACCCTTGAAACGGATCGGGCCTAATTACTGGTCTGGTGTGTGTCCGTGTGAGCGCATAAAAGAGCGTATACCTACAGAAACATCTGAGCAAAACTTATGTGAAATTTCGGGAAAGTGTGTGTGTGTGTGTGTGTGCGTTACTCATTGGGCTGATGGTCTGAGTGTGTGTCTGTGCTGTGGTCGAATGTGGCTCCTGCTTCTGTGGAAAAGGAAGTTTGAATATGTGAGAATCAGTCGGTTTGCACCAGTATTTCCAGAATTAAAATCTTTCTGCTCTGGCTTCTGTTTCTACCATCTTTCAGTGTAAGGGCTTGTTTATAAGGCTGACCATGTGCACGAGTGTGTGTTTTTAAGTGTTTGTGTCATAAAAGCTGTCAGAAAAAAAAGGTTAAATCTGAACGAACAGAGTGACTTTCAGAATGAGAACACAGAGTGCCTTGACACCAGCAGAAGGGAACACACTCCTGCCTTTATGCACTTTATTCATTCAGGTCACATATGCCTGCACGCATGCACACACATCACAAAATGTAAAACACGTGTACATACACATCTCCACGCACACGCATAAAACCACAAAACATATAAAGACAAGTGCCTCAACACTTCAGCTCTGTGTTCATTTATCTCTTCTCCCCCTCATACAATCACACACACACACACACACGCTCATGACCTCTGTCATTCATGCAAGTCAGGAGAGGAAACCCCCCCAACACACACACACACACACACCTTTGGGATCACAGGAGGCAATTGTACTGCTGAGCTGCAAGCAATGAGGCTCAATTACGCAATTCTTAGAAACAAATTAGACAAAGTCGCTCCTGATGTCTGTGATTATGTGAGCGGAGAGACTCCAAACAGCAGAACATGGAAAAAAAAAAAGAATAATGTGGGGGTGGGAGTGATTCATTCACAGAAATTTAACCTGTGCACACGCTGAATCTACAGGCACAGATTTTAACTGCATTTTAATGACTCGTTACTCTTCTCATTTCCTCACATCGCGAGTCATGTTTTTTTTTCCTTTTTAAAAAACAGGTTGATTTAATTTTACACTAAGAATTTAACCAGATGATCAATGTCTGAAACTGGGACAAGAAAAGGAGAAGAAAACATTTAGCTTGCTTCTGTCAAAACGTATGCTAAGATAAACTAAACACACTCYCTCATTTCAAACCATTAATGATACATGTGCTGAAAATATACAAGACCAATTACTGTTATTAACTCAAAGCTATAGTGTGTAAAAACGAATTAGTCTTTTTTTTAAACTTGCAATTTATTACTTTGAAAAATATATTTTTTATTACCTAAAGATTTTTCATATTTATTTGTTTGGCAGGTCATTCTACACAGGAGAAGAGCCAGAAAACAGCCGTCAAAGCAGCATCAGAGCAAGAGTACGGCTCAGAGAAGAAGAGGAATAAAACTAAAGTATAAAACAACAATACTGTTTTTGACAGGATTAAAAATACAGACTGAAGATATAGAACATCAAACTCTGTATTACTACTTATCTGGCATTTAGATGAAAGTTAGTTATWTAGAATTTAAGACAATTGCCATCTCCAACGTGACCACTAGATGTCAATAATGGTTACACACAGTCCCTTTAAAAATAATTCATTTACTTTCACATGCCATCTATAAAAACCTGTGGTGAGATTCATCTTTACAGATTTATTACTCCATCCTTGTTCAGACATATGACGCAACAGAATACATACATGCACAAGTCCTTTTAATGTTTAAATGTTCACAAAGAGACATATTTATACGACCATGTTGTGGCAGACACCAGCCCACGCTGCTGGCCCAGTGTTCATTCAGCAGGACATACTGCAGTCTCTATGTGAAGCTAAATGAAAAGTAGTGTGTRCATGCTGCATGGACTTGGCCACACGTTTTAGGTGCAGCTCGAACAGAGTATTAGTTAGTATTTGCTTCCAAACCGTAGAGGCTGGTAAAATGTTAGTGAGGTACCTGGAAATGGAMAATGCTGTTGACTGATTGAAGGCTTTGAAAACTTTTTTCTTGTGAGTTAGTCTGGGAAACTCACTTTAATGTGAGGTTTAAGTATTTTCCCATGTTGATGTTTAAGTTCTGTGAAWACAAGGTAGAAAGGCTGCAGCTGTACACATTAAGTATGTTCTGTTGGTATCAAGTTACTTTTACAGTATATTTTGRCATGTTATTGTTGGCACATCAGAAGAACTTCTGACACACCATTTAAACATCAGCCAAACTCTCTGCTAAAGTCCAGGCTTTGCTGAAATAAAAAACAACTCATGTATAGACTAGTCTTAACTGCTGGTGGGTGTGAATGCAGCAGAAAAACTGAAATTACTGACAAAAATCACCATAAGATGCACATTCACTGTAGTTAAAATAGAATTTCAAAAAGAAGTCCATTCTGCTGATCTAACACATTTAGGAACTGTCTTTATCTCWCTGAATGGTAAAACAAAAGTCAAGTCAAACTTAAAAGTTACCTTAAGTTTCCTCWGCTCAGTTTAACTAAAATTTCTGATGTGAGAAGGTCTGATGAACCAAACGAATAATGATAGGTTTTTGTAAGAGAATAAACTCTATTTTGCTGTGGAGTGAAAAACAAATTACTTAAAAACTTAAGCAATACACTTGTGCATTGATCTATCCACATGCATGCTCTCTTTGGATAAGCTTTCACATTAACCAACAGCTGAACATGGAAAAAYAAAGCTGTAGCATCTGTAAAATCTTATTTGAAAATTACATCTATTAGTTAAAAAACGTTAAAGTTATTAATTTGTCCTTAAAGCATACACTTGGTTGGGGTGGAAACAAATCAATAACAACCATAACAAAAACAAAAAGATGAAAAACAAGTTGTGGTATTTAAAATAAATACTCATCACATACTTCCATATAGGATGAGATACAAAAATAATTTGCTGTTTTATCACAGATCAGACTTCAGAAGTGTTTATTACAGAATATAAACTAGACTTTAACATTACTTCTYAACAAAAATTGCTTTAAAATTTTGATCTGTGATTTGCCTGTACAATATTTCACAGTATAATAGTTGTGTTTTTGTTGTTATTATTCTGAACAGGTTCTTCTTTGGTTATTTTTTGTTTAGTTTGTCAAATAACTGCATTAACACACCGTTTGTAAAGCAGTTTTTTTTAAATAGTACTCAACACTTAAATATCTAAGTTTTTTTTAATTTCCTGTTATTAAACAGAAATTACACTGGTCAATTATAAAAAAAAATCACTGGCCTGAATTTGAAGATTTTTCACATTATAGCTCCGCTGTGTTTGGGTTTTGGAAATGTCTGTGGTGTGGACGCTTCCCGAAGTGCTTCTGTCCACAGTTCTGTTATTAACCTCACAGTTCTAAGTAGGTGAAGCTGAAGCTGTGTGTGTGGTAGAGGCAGGACTCACTGTCTGCTGCTGTGCTGCCATTGGGCAACGAGCCCAGATCAACAACCATGCCGTCCAGACAGACGTTAAGCTCCCCTCCTGCTACAACTGAGCCTTTGTTCTCCGTCTGCAGCACCAGACTCAGCTGGACGTTCTCCACTAGAGGGAGGAAGATTAGACAGACACAAAGAGAAAACGATGAGTGATTGAGGAGTGGAGAAAGTTGTGCGGTGAGAGAGACGAGTCATGTTGGGAAATTGGGCATTTTTTTTTTGTTTTGTTTTGTTTTGCTTTCAACCTAGCCCGGTAAAAACCAGACCCTTGTCCTTCACTTTGCTTCATACGAGGGTCTGGACTTGCGGCTATAGAGAAGCGATTCTTTCTGGAGGCGTGGCCTCTGCTGAAGTTTAAAATGATTGGGTCGGTTGGCCGCGACGTATGTTGCTGTGAAGGAGGCTAAGCTAAGAAGCTAACCGGAAATCGCGTGYGCTGTAAACAACCCTACTGAGAGGAGAGAAGTACCGAGCCGAACGAGATAACTGTAAATGAGAGCTGCTGCTTTGTCAGACAAATTTATTTTAATCTGGAAGCCTTATCAACACGGACTGGCTTCATTCACTTCCTCCACTGCCATAGCTAAACTAACTAGCAGACAATGCGCAGAAAATCGACGTTTTGTTCTCTGATTGGCCCGGATGAAAATTCTCCCGAAGAAATCCTTGTCTATGGGAGAAATCCCAGACAGAGCAGTGAAGGGAAACTAGAATTGTGCGGAACTGTAGGAAGGCAAGGGCCAGGCTACTTTGAACCTGGAAAGCATCACAAACTCACAGCAATGAAGGAATTGTAGGTCTAAATCAATTTTACCAAGAGTTTTATTATAATTTATTCATTAGAAATTCTATTAACTATTTAAAATCTAAAGGCATTTTTATACAATAAAATATGACTCCTGTTCCTTTTGGTTTGATCTGAGCGAGGTGTAGAAGTCAGATCCCTTGCTAACTGTTAGAATAAACAACGTTCCCTGACCGTACAAAAACAGAAATACCTCACCACCTGGAATTAACTGAGCAAAAAGGCAGAAGCAGCTTTTTGGAGAACCGTTGCAGAGATTGTTTCAGTTGGTGAGCGATTTTATAACAGTGGTTTTTCATTTCCTAAACCATGTCAGAACACACATCCTGTGACTGTAGAAAAGATGTCGCTGGAGGATCAGATCTGGCAAACAAACAAAACTACTAAGTTCACTGATGAAACTCCTAAAAGCTGGAACAAGAGCTTTTCCAACAAAAACCTGGAACCCTCTTACTAAAGAGTACAGGAACAGATATACACATGGAGCTTCAGGATGAAGCTAATTACTTCCATAAGCAGTGAACCATTTTTTGACAAACTTTATGGGGCCAAAAAAAAAATCTCAAAAGGTTGTGCTTAAAGATTCCTTAAACATGTAGTTAAAAATAGGAAAAATAATTAACAGGGGAATTCATGGAAAAATGTATTGGAATCAAACAACTGTAGCCTCAAGAAAACAATTCTAAATAATAAAATAAATAACTAACAAGATGAAAAAGTGCATTAGTGACTCATGTAACCTTAAGTGTTTTAGTGCAATTGACCAAATTAAAGCTTCTTTCTATTCATTTCTTGCCACTTATCCATGGTTAGGTAATGGAGACAACAGGTCCACAAGAAAAACCCCAGACAAACTTCCCCCAGCAGGAATCTCCAACTCTACCAACTGTTCCCAGGCCAGAGACGATACAAAATCTCTCCAGCGAGTTCTGGGTCTGCACTGGGGTCTCTCCCAGTGGGACGTGCCAAGAAAACCTCCAAAGGGAGGCGATCAAGAGGCGTCCTAATCATATGCATGAACCACCTCAACGGACTCCTTTTAATGCAGAGGAGCMACAGATCTACTTCCAGCTAAAACCTGGCCACCCTRCAGAGGAATCCATTTCAGCTGCTTGGATCAGAGATCTTATTCATTTTGTCATGACTGGTGAAACGTAGATGAACCAGTAATGAGAGACTTTGACCACGACAGACTGACAACGCCCTCAATATGTTGATCTCACTTCATCCTACCATCACTCATAAGCAAGATTCCAAGATACTTGAACTAACTTAAAAATATCAATATATCATTATACCAACTCATACTCGGATTTGACAAATGAGAGGRGAAATGTCTTCAAAAAAACAATAAAAAAAGAAGTCTTGTTGGATTTTATCCAAGCATATAGGATGTCCATGTCCTGGATGACTGAAAAYCTACACTAACAATGCTATGCACCTTTTTTTCCTCCAGTTTGAGCCGTTTCTTACTTTTGCCATCGTGCGTGCGCAGTGTGTCCAGCAGGTCTATGGTAGCGCTGCCCAGTAGCTCCTTTCTCAAAGTGTGGCAGCTCCACAACTTTAAATCCAGATGACTCTGAGGCGTGACGTTACTGCAGAACACAAAACAACGTGAACACACTCAATCAACCGAACCAGTTATTAACACACGATCTACTAAAAAAATATTAGTACATAATAGTTTAACTTTAGTTCTGTTCATGTTAAATTTTTAGTGTAAGAGTTCATTAAACTAAATTTCTACACCTTAAAAAAACTTGACMATTATCTAAAAAGGAGCAAAAATTATTACAATGGTGTTTTCTGTACCAATCTCCAACGCTTGTTCATTTTATGTKCTAAAATACAACTATTAAAAGACTTGTTTTTATGACTGTGTGAGCATGTGTGTGTGTTGCTCTCACAGGGTGAGGTCCTCGTTCCACTGCAGCTCCAGGTGTCCAGTGCGTTTGCCTGTTTTTTTGGTTTCACTCGTCAGACCGTCGGCAGTCACCTCAACAAACGAGCTGAGTCGAGAGTGACGATTCGGCAGTTTTGGAGACTGGGGCTTCGCTGACACCACTGCACACATGCACGCACGCACGCACACACACACACACACACACACACACATGCACGCACGCACGCACACACACACACACACACACACACACCAGCGGTTAAGGAGCATATTAAAATGTCTGGATCATAAAAATTGTGTTTTATTTAACACTGGATAATTTAGTGTGAATTAAACTCCCTCTACTGGTTTTTATACTAACATATCTGCAGATTGTGTGTATTGCAAATAAAATTAACCGATTCAACCACTCTTTATATATTTTATATTTTAACCAAGACTTTTTTTTAAATTTATGCCTTTAGTACAGCAAAGAAAAAAAAATCAGATAAAAGTGTTTGTACCCTTTTATTATAGAAAGAAAAAAAGCCCACAGTGGTCACTGAAATAATTTGAAACGAAAGTAATTTAAAAAATCAACTAATAAAAATCATTGCTTTTTAAATTCTGGTTCAACAGAATTGTTTCAAAAAATAACGAAAGTGTATTTGACAAAAATAGTAGTACCCTTTAATTTAATATTTTGTTGTATAACGATTTGAAGCAATCGCAGTAATGAAGTGATTTCTGTAGCATTTTGTGAGACTCCTGCACCTTTTGACTGGTATTCTGGCCCACTCCTGCTGAGGAAACTACTCCATCCTTAGGTTTGAAGGATTCCTTCTCCAGACAGCACATTTCAGCTCATTTCATGTGTTCAACAGGATTTAGATCAGGGCTCAGAAGGCCACTGTTGGAGGATTCTCAAACAGAGACCAAGTTTTCTGAGAGTTTGGAGAATATTTTGCCCCAGAATGTGTTTTTTATGCATTTTGTGTCGCAGTTTGCTCAGAATATAGATATAAAATATGCACATTCTGTGTGGCTGTGTGAGCTATCACACAAATGCAAACATGGCCCTCTTGTGGAAGAAAGAAAATGTGACATATTACTTTTACCGTTATAGCGAAAAGTAGACAAACCCTTAGGTCTTCAAATTAGGTTAACAAAACTTCAAAACAAAAACCATATGTGACATTTTAAGCTATGTTTTTATTAATTAATCAAAAACAAAGCTAAAATACTCTTTAAAAWCCTACATTGTACACAAAAACTGTTCGACTATCCTGACACTTGAACGTTTTCGAGTGTCTAGTTCAGGAAATTTTCTAGGTCAATTTTATGTCGTCTTAGCCCTACTGAGATTTCTGTAAGTAGGATATAATGTATGCAGCCTCGGTGCTTTTGAATTATTTTGCACATTCTCAAAAGATTATTGCCGCATGTTTTAGTACTGTTAGAGTAACATATTCGTAAAGCTGAGGAATTTGTCCATTTGTCCAATATTTAGATACATAAGTGATGATAAAGACATTACAAGTGAACTGGGTGAAGCAATATGATAATGACTCATTGCAGTTTTCTGTTAGAACAGATGGAAATGACAAAAAGACGGAAGAGAGCCAGATGGAAGAAATGAAGTAGCCTTTAAGAGTGTGAGAGGAGGTGGGAGGAGATGAAGACAAGATCCAAAGGGGTTGAGGGCAGGTCTGTAAATGATGAGGTGAGTCAGAGCTGATTTGATCTTTATCAAATTACACTGGAATGCTTGACTGCATTACTATTAGTTATTTTTCTCAAGCCTTTTTAGTTAAAAAAAAGGATTGATAAGCTAAGGTCTAGTCACTGAGGGACCATAACCGAAGATAATTTAAAATAACTCCAATCTCAGAAATCTCAAAGAAGTTCATGCAAGCTTAGTTTTTTTAAATGTTTGCACTGTTGTCAGTTATGGTTATTCTATCAGAAATGTTGCTGCTGGAGGGGATCCAGGCTGCACAGGATGTGCCACAGCTTGCTGCAGCAATCATTGTTTTCACTTGCAAAAACCCTCACAAACATACGACGGAGTATTAGGGCCACACAACAAGATTTTTTTATTATGAGAATAAACTCATAATATTACGAGAAAAAAGTTGTAATATTACGAGAATAAAGTCATATTCTGAAAATAAAGTCAAAGCATAAAAGTCATAATATTACAGAAACCTTTACGGAAAAAGCAGTCTAAACACTGCATTAAACTGAGGACAGTTGAGCAACTTGTGAAGTTGTTCTTTACGATTTGTTAAAATAAATTATCTTTTAGCACATTAGCATCAAATTATCAGTAGCAGGATTTTGAAACGATTGTGCAAACGACTATATGATAAACTGAAGCCGTACTGTAATTAATGGCTGCACTGTCAGATAGTCGTCAGGTAATTTAGATGAAAGCATATATTACACTAACAGTGACCCAAAAGTCATTGCAGACCACTTCATACACACAGAGACACACATGACTGTCCACAGCAGGCGTGAGGAAAATAAGGAGGAAATGAGAAAATATCAGGAATGGAAAATGGACATGTCATAAGATGAAGACTTTTTTCTCATAATATTATGACTTTACTCTCATAATAAAAAAATCTTGTTGTGTGGACATTGTAAAAACAAGAAACAGAATACTATGTGAATAACCATGTATAATTAAAATGACAGTAAAGCACAAGTTCAGAGTCCATGGCTATGTAGTTAAAAAGAAGTTAAAAGAGCTACATGGGAAACATGTGCACATGTAAACAACACAAGTAAAACTAGCAGATGTTTTTTTTTTTTTTTACTGTTAAAGTCTTTTAACAGTTTTTTTGTTAAACTTACACCACCCAAGTGTCATATTTTGGGTGTTTGTGTCATGATTCCAGAATTATTTTAAATATTAATAAACTAAACGTCAAAACAGATTAATAATAATGAAACTGGTTTGCTTCGCACATTTTTCTCACTGTATGTATGGTCAGTCTGGAGAGATGACAAAAAGCCTTACCTTTCAGGATTAACTGGGACTTTTCAGTGGTTTGGGCACTGCCAGGTCTGGTCACACTGGCAGCTGCCATGGCATCACAGCTCTGTAACACAACAAATACAAAAAAAATTGCAAAACACACTTCCTGCTTCATGCACAGAGATTTTATCCACCTTTCTGCAGGGTGATTTAGTTACTGAACAACCACAGAGACATGTGTCAATCAGTCAATGATTTAAAAGTCTTCAGTGATTGGTGTTCCCTGCATTGTTTTACAGATTCCTTATCCCAAGCAATAAGTATCCTGTAAACCTGCCATAACTGCAAAGAAAAGTACCTTTAGTTTAGTTTAGTTTATTTCAAACATGTATGGAAAACAAAGCAAAAAAATAAAAATAAAAGGAAAACCTTAAGGACAAGTTAAAGTAACAAAAATCATAGTCCTCTTTGCTTCCTATCATCTAAGCATCGCTATTTACAAACCTTTGACAATTAAACCAGGGGACAGAGTTCACCAAAAACCTTTAAGGATAAAAATATAAAAGCTGACAGCAGTGATTGCTGTGATAAAATATTGCAACAAGACACATTACCTTACTAAATTACACCAACAAACAAGGAAGGGTGCTTTGAGAAGTGATAGAAGAAATAAATATATCCAGACAGAAATCAGTACATTTGAAAATATGTACAGAATCTGCCCACGTCACTGTAATATAAGGTAGAAGCTGTTACAAAGTAGTAATGTGGGGCTTTACTTTACTGGATTCATTTGATCATATTGGGCAGTTTAAAACATAAGAGTGCATCATCGCTCAACACCTTCTGATGTTATCACTGATTTCAACATTAGAATGCCACAAATAAAAGTCAAGTCTGCATTGAGCTCAGCAGCATCATCTAATTAATGTCACTCAGCAGAGGTTTGTTCTCCCCATCAGAGGTAGAGAGAGCCAAGTCCTCTCAGCATCACCTTGAGCAAAGTCAGAGATACTCTGCAGCATTTGGTGAAAAGWAAACTGCAATGCACAGCAGAGATGACCTCTCCAAGGATGCTGTCCTTGGTACGCAATTCTATTTAAAACTCTGAACTGGTTGTTGAATAAATTTGAATAAATCTTATGTGCAACTGTCTCATACAGAAGTCTTCAGCCACTTTCTGTTTTTTTATAGTGAAACTTTGTACATTTTAAACATATTTTGAGCATTCTGTTCTTCTTTCTGGAGGTCTTTTAATTTTATACTTTGAATGCTTTTTTTACTCATTTGTTTTAAGTCCTGTCCTTTATCTAACAATTTTCAGAGGAACGTGAACTCTGAAAAGTAAGCAAAATATAAAAGAGTGATTTCAGATATTACAACAAAACTGTACATGTTATTGTATCAAGGTTACTGCAGTGCAATCAGAAACCACGCAGAAACCTGGGTTACATGCCAACTTTGATGTGTCTTGGTCGTAATCAGGGGAAATAGTTTGGTAGTTTCCAACTAAAAAGCCACTTGAAGTCTGTCTCAAAGCATCATACGATCAGACAAGAGCCATCACAACAGCGCGTAGCATCATTTTACAATGTAAAACAACGAACGACTGCTTAAATAAACAGTGTTTTAGTGCTAGCGTATTTAAATTAAACAAATGCTTGTTTTGTTTCTGCTAAACAGATTGTCTCCCTATTAAATACCCTTGACAGGTAAATATGTACAAAACACAAACACGGAAGATGATTGAGGAAATTTTAGACAACAGCCAAGTCAATGCTAAGAAAGCATATATTTCCGGATATTATTTTCAAAATAAAACTCATCTAAACCCTGTTTCTCGCATACTATTTTTACTATTTCTAAAGAAAACTAAAAACATGAGCAACTCGGGCAGTAACTTTCAACATTTTTCGTTCTATGCGTAAAATGACAAAAAACACTGGCGTAATATTAACTATAGGTTAAAACATCCAATGAGATGTTCAAAAATTAGGAGAGCATCAGATTACATTCACAATGAATTGATTAAAAAATGTAAAAGAAAGAAAAATACTTATACACGTAACAGGTTAGAACAATAAGAAATGTTTTCTTTATTTGTTTTCAAAATACATATAAATTWAAAACTATTCAATTTATTTTGAAAGAAACACATATGCCTCCGTTCTGTTCTTAACTTGACACAGAAGCTAACCTAGCCAGCGATCTCTAGCGGGGTTTTACGTAAGGACATGGCCATAAAACCTGATCTAAACACCAGAGAGCAACCAGAGCTGTGTTTAGAACAGCGTTTTCCACACCAGCGGACGTTGTATGTACTGACATGTCAGAAACGGACGCGCGAATGAGATTATTTCCCTACCTTTGTCAGCTGTGCTCCGCCGTKGTCGCTACAGAACTTTCATTTCCGCCTCGGTGATAAAACCACGTGACCCAGGCTTTTTAATGCACAAAGGATTGTGGGAAAAACAATAAACAACGACAAGTTATATATATATTTTTCTTTCTTTTCATATCTCAGATATTATATTGCGTAAAACAATGCAATATATGTGAGCTGTGTGTATATTTGTTTGTATCAAGACTGATCACAATTCAACACTTTGTCAGCCAAGGAAATTCCCCGTGGCACACATTTTTAAAAACTTTTTTTTTATTTAACTTTGATTTGACAGTGACAGAATACATCATATATACTTTTTTCACTCATTACAAAGGGTCCATTTCTATTGAGGGGCCTGAGGCCTTACAGTATCTGGACTCACAAACATCTCTGAGGTGCAGTGCACCGCTTATTTAGTTATTTTTCTAAGACGTGACACCTCTTCAAAAACAAGTTGACATTTTTTGTCAAATGTGTGGAAAAGCACTGTTGGTGCAGTACGACAATGGCAAAAATAATTCATCTGTTTACGTTAATTCACTTAAAATAATGCACATTAATGAACGATTAATAGTCTTTAAGCTAGATGACATTGTTATTCCATGTCTCAGACATGTTGATTGTTTGATAATTGAAATTTGAAACATTTGGAGCAACTTTTTTTCCCACAATATCAGTTTTCTCCATTGCTAGGCAACACGATCAGCTGAATTCAAGATGGCCACCACAGCTTTTCAACTACACAAAAATGGCAATACAGTGGTGAATTTTACATACATTGTGCTACAATTTGGTGCGGTAACAGCTGCCAGTCATTTGTAACATACTCCTACCACTCAAAGAKAATGCATTAAACATGATATTGCAGTTTCACATGATTGAGTATAATGTTAGTTTCAATATTTAGCCAAAAATAGTGACAAGCCATCATTTCTCAGCTGATTTCAGTTTAAGACTCTTGCATGAAAGGCGGCAGGCAATATGCATTCCTTCAATGAATGCTAAGCCTTTATTACACATAACATACAGTATTTAGTGGTTGTCACGTGTCATTATTTTCAAGGTAACATCAATAAGTCAACACGTCAGCAAACTGATTAATGGTTTTAAATACTAACCCTTTAGGAGACATTGAAAAAATACTCCTGAACAGAGATGAGAAGCATTGGCGTACATACACACTCTCACCAGTTACTTATAAATACTGCAAAAATAAACATTACAGGGCATTTATTAGTGACGTTTCAGGAAAACCTTATGGTCTGATGTGAATGGTGAGGATGAAGAAAGATGCAGGCTGACATAGTGGTCATGAAAATAGGTGGTCACAGCTAGAGGAGGGCCCAGCAGCAGACACAGCCACACGAAGCCGTTGCCATAGTTTCCCTGAAAAAAATCTCTGAGGAACACCGAAATCAGGAGCTGAAAGGAGAAGTCACCGAGTTACCTTCAGGTGTGGAGGGTGAGAAGACACAAATAACTGGAGGAATTACATTTTCTGCACTTYACACTAGCTAAAAGCTGAAAAAGAGAAAGGCTGTTAAAAGCTAAAGAATAAAAAATTTAGCTAAAAGCCAAAAGCAGCAAATGGGCAGTGGTGGGCAGCTCTAATCTAAAAATTTGTTCCACTAGCCCAAAAGCACTAACTCAAATATTTAGGTCCCCTAATTCTAAAGCACTAACTCAAATATTTAGGTCCCTTAATTCTAAAGCACTAACTCAAATATTTAGGTCCCCTAATTCTAAAGCACTAACGCATTGAAAGTTTTAGCAAAAGCTTTTTCTAAAGCACTAAAATAACCCAGTCAACCTATGAACATTCTTCAACAGACAACACGAGTCATGTTGTCATGTTGCTCTCTTAAGACTTATCATTGACTTTCCACCGCTGTATTTGAGTTCATATATTGTCACCTGGTGGATCAGTGACACACATATGAAAAAAAAATGTGACAGCTTTCACCCTCAGCTGTTAACATTAACGTTGATCAATAACTTTTATTGACCTCAGTTAGTGCTTCTAAATTTAGCAAGTGCTAATTCACTAATACGTTTTAAAATGAGCAAAACCCCTAAAGCACTAATCAGAAAATTAGTTTCCCTATTAGTGCTTTAGTGCTTTAGGGGAACTGTGCAAACCACTGCAAACGGGTCATTAAAAATAACAAAAGGCTAACTAGAAACTAAAAACACAATTATAGTGTTAAAAGGTAAAATCTGCAAAACATTAGCCAAAAGCAGCAAAAGAGAGTAGCTAGAAGCTAAAATTATCAAGAGGCTATTTAACTAAAACAAACTGATAACCAAGCTAAGAGCAATAAGATAGAGTAGCAAATTGTAATAAAGGATTTTTTTTTATTGGAAAATATTTGTAAATAATTTTGAATAGTATAAAAGTTTCAAAAACCAAAGATTTTAGAATAAATGTACTGACTTTGCTGAATATTTTTGATATATGAATAGCTAAAATCTATTTGAATTTGTTTCTACAGTTTATTAATTACAAACAAACTGATTTGAAACCTCTAATAACTCACCTCTAATAACATCATAAGGAAAATCCACAGATGACAGCTGTGCAGAGGCAGAGCAATCAGATACTGCAGAGAAGGAAAACCAAAAATAACAAAGTGCTATCAGGACTGCTAGGCCTTTAATTTGAATGAAGAACCTGATTTACCTCACAGAGAGCAGCAGACATCAGGAAGACAAGGAGCTCAGCTTTAGTTGGAGAAATGTTCCTTTTCACCAGCTCTGTGTACACATGCCTTTGAACAAATATTTATTTATCAAACCTTATTCATTTCTTTAAAAAAACAACATAATACATAAATAATAAAAAAGAACAAACACAAAAGTAAAACTAGGACCATTCTTGTTATGTGTTATATGAAATGAGAGGAGGACTGAAACCTGTTAATCCATTTTTGAAATGGAACATTCCAAGTTTTCCAGAAAGTGATCAAAGTTGGAGCATTCCTGTAAAACAAAACAGGTTTGCTTTTATTAAGCTTCAAATTCAACACAGGGCTGTGGACAGAAACTTTTTTTTGTTTTTGTAACTGACCACCAGTCTCCGTAAAAATGTCGATCACCGAAGCGAAGCAGTTCTGCACAGAAGTTCAGGAACGAGTGACTCAAAAAGAAGAGGAGAAGCCACAGGAAGTGGGTTGGTGCCTGGCAAGAAAACATCAAACATAACACAATTAAATGCAATCTCTAAAGTGTCCAAAAAGCTAAATGGATGTAAAAACGATTAAAAACTCACCACCAGGCCTACAAGGTGCTCCACCCTCAAAGTGATGCCCATACTCTGAGTCCAAGAACAGAAAATGTAAGAAAATGAATCCCTGAATGATAGAGCCGTGTGTCAACATTTATAACTGAAGATTTATGTTGAACTCACCGTAAAAGGTTTCTCTGATTTCTGGAAAATTGGCTCAATCCACTAAGACGAAAGAAAACGTTCTATTAAAGTTAAAGTTCTATTAACTTTAACATTCGCTATGGACTGCATGCTCGATAATAATCATATAAGCATGAATTGTAAGCTAAAATGATAAATCATAAACATGAATAAAGGCCTATTTCGAAGGAATGCATATCATACATCACATTTTATAGATAATTTTATGCTGAAAAAGGATGGAGTTAATACAATATTATATCTATTAGTGCTGTGAATGTATGTTGAGGAAGATACTCAGTTACTACCACACCAAAATTTAGCTCAATATCTGTAAATATTAATGTTACAGCCATTTTTGTGTTTGCTAATGTCAGCTATCTCTCAGATATCCCAAATTAAGTTAACTCTAAAAGCTGTAAATGTACATCTAATGATACTTTCTGAGAAAGTATGTTCAGTGGTTCATGATAGATTGTACTAACAGACAAAAATACACAGAGACACAGCAAAACACACTTGTTGCACACAATGCTACCTTGAAGAGCAGCCAGAGATACATGTGGGGGTTAATATTGTGTCGTTTTATATAACAGAGAGAGTTTCAACAAGCTGCTGTACCTGCTGCACAATGCCGACCATGATCTGAACAACAACCACCTACAGAAAAAAAATACCAGATTAACTTGTTATGACATAGAAATACATTGAAGTTTGTTCACTTTCATCTTTGCTGCTTTTGTCTTCTTATGCCAAATCTTATTGATAATATGAATTTTAGCTTTAGCCAGCCTTTGCTACTTTTAGCTAACTTTTTGCTGTTTTTAGCTTTCAGCTAGTCTTTTGTTTATTTTAGCTTTAACTAAGTTGCAAGTTTTATTTATATATATTAGGGGTGCAACGATACAAAAACGAAATTCACGGTTCGGTTTGGTTCGATACTTTAGTCTCACAGTTCGATATTTTTTCGATACAAAAAAGAGAAATTTCCATGCCCCTTTTAACTTGTAATTTATCTATATTAATTGTGAACTTTGTTTAACCTCAAAAGTACAGTTTTTTAATTAAATGTTGCTGAAACAGCAAGTTTCTCAGTGAACCTGCGCTCAAAAATGCAGCCGTAGTCAAGCACAGATCCACTGATCCTTTAATACAGAGCATCTTCAGAAGACATGTTGATAAAGTAAATTTTTAAAATCTGTATTGTTTGATACAGCACTGTTCGATACGGTTCGATATGGGTACATGTATTGTTGCACCCCTAATTATATATATATATCAACATACTTTCATCATACATTTTAGCAGAAAATGCCTGTAGTTTYGTTATTTTGTGCTGAGGGTTAAGTCCAATTTTTTTGCATGACTGCATTTTAAATGTTACATTGCACTGTTTTCAGTGTAGCAATTGTTGGCCATCTGCGAGGGTTTTTTATTTTCAAGAAACATGGGATCAAAATGAGTCTATGTTTCTTCTTCTTCTATGCAACCTTACTTTGTAACCATTTTCAGCCACTATGTTAGTAAAGAGAAGATAAAACTCTCAAACAYAATGCCACAACTATAGCTCACCATTTCCAGCAGCCTGTGGAGCAACTTATTGATTTGGACCTTCGGGGTACGTGGGAAGTCTCTCTGGTAGCACAGAGTTGGAGCAAAGAGGAAATAATACAGATCTAAGAAATAAAAGAAGTCACAATGACTGAAATATATCAAAACTGTAATAAGATGAGCTCGTGACAAACAAGCAGTTTCACCTCTCAGAGTCAGATTCTCATTCTGGTTGTTGTGTGCAACARATCCACTGCTGTCTTTGTCTAAACATAAAGAGAAAATATTTGTTGCTGATAAATTTGTTCCATCCGAAGTCAACAGTCAACAACAACGACAGTGATACCTAAATGAGCCTGACGATACCAACGGTTAGTTTCCTGATAGGAATAAAGCTTCAGTCCCAGAATGATGTAGAACCAGAGAGAGAAAAATGCTCCACCTGTTGAACAAAAACACCTCTGCACTAAATCTTTTTTAACTTCAGGAACACATTTTATAGCAGATGAAACAACCTTATTAACGATGACTGAATTATTGTTTTGAAAAGTGGGCAATCATGTAATTGTAAAAGTTAAGCTTTAAGGAAAGTTTGTAATTTAGTTTTCACCTGTTGATATTTTTGGCTCGTGCAGCACAACGACAGCAGGAAGCAGCAAAAGGAACCCCAGATTTATGAGATGTAAACGATGGCTGCTGCTGGAAGACAACTTTCCCTGTTACAAACAAATATTTGTATCTTCAGCTAAGAAGTTTTAAATTAAATGTGAATTTCAGCCAGTAATTCTGTATTTTATAATAGAATAAGGAAGTCTGACCGTTTCTTCGAACCTCTCCAAGTAGAAAGCTATCAGTGCAAACAGATTTGCAACTAGAAATAAACAAATATGTTATTACTGTGATATTTATTATTGATGATATACTGTACAACTACAATTTTAACAAAATTAAATGCAACAAAGAATAAAAATTGTCCTTTTTAGAGAGTGTGTTATTGCCAGCAAATTCCAAATTTGAGTGCATTTACTATGCAGTTAATCATTGAAGACACAGAAACTTATTCCCTTTGTGCATTTCCATTTCTTTTTATCTTTGCTATAGTTATTGTACAGTTTCTTACCCAGTATTAGGTTGACAGATGGCCAGTTGTAGCTGTCCTCAGTCAGATGACCCAACACTTTTCTAACATCGATCAGAAAACCGTGTCTGTTAAAGTGAAATAAAAAAAGCATGTTTTTTTTTAAACAGAGCACATATTGGGCTATGTCTAAACTAAAATGTTGGTTTAYTTTTTGTCCATGTGTTTGTTCTATTTCATTGAATTAGTTGCAGTATCCACTTTGCACCACTAGATGTCACTACATGCTGCACAAGAAATGTTTTTGCCTGTTTGTTGGTGGTTTTATCACCTGCTGTTATAGGTGATTAAAAGGTAAAATTCAAGAAGCTGCTTTATAAATCAACACTGTGTTAGACACTGAAATATTTTAAGTAAATACTCAAAAACAGTAATTACAGGAAATTATTCCATTAATACTCACTGTATGAAATTCTCTAAGAACAGATGAGCATGAGTCAGGACCTAAAAGACATAAAAACACACAATTAGAAAATCATGTGGACATGTTAACAAAACTATTTGTAAACAAATCAGAAGTAAGAAAGGAGAACCTTACCAGGAGAATGATAATCCAGTTGAGGACACCTCTGTATCCAGTGAAATTGCTGTTGGAACTCAGCAGAGAGTCCTGGATGTTGTGGCAGCTGCATAAAAACACATTTTTACATCATCATCGTCATTATTTTTGTGACAGGTTTACTGTACACCAGTGCCTTATGTTAATTAATGATTGAGTTGTAGTCAGTTGGTTAAACCTTGCAGTCAGAGTATGTGTTGTGAATGACTCTCAGCTACTAATACATCAAAAGTTAGCTCAATATCTAAAAATCTGACAAGGTTATAACCATTTTTGTGCTTCTAAGGTCAGTCGGTTGTGATGGCCGGTCGACTCCAAAAGGTATTCAGCAACATTTGTCAAAACTGTTGTACAATTTCTAATGTTTTATGAATCATTTTAACAGTATTAAATCTGTTCACATGGACATGTGTTGAAGTCTGCAGAGGAGCTTACCAGAGCAGAGATGCATAAGGATGTTCATCATCACTGGATGGATCAGCTGCAGAATTTTGAGCATTCTCCCAGATGATGGAGCCATCTTCCTCTGCTGAGGAGGAAACAAACCTCTTCCTCACTGCAGCCATCTCTGATTCTGAGGGTTTCTTTAGAAAGGTAGGAGGACAGTGTCATTCTAAGCGTTTTTCGTGAATTCTAGGTTCAATATATTCTAATCAGATTTTTGTCCCAAAGTTTGAAACAAAAWTTTTTTTACGTTAAACCTTCAAATCAGTTTTAAACATAAAAGCTGCAACTTTATTAAAGGTAGGCTACTCATTGCAATGTCATGATGAAGACTAGCAAGACAGAAAGGAAGGAAGGAAGGAAGGAAGGAAGGAAGGAAGGAAGGAAGGAAGGAAGGAAGGAAGGAAGGAAGAATAAATTTTGCACAACATGTCTTTAAATTACACATTTGTAAGAAAAACGTAGCAGAACTGTTTTGAATGTAGAACTCTGACAATTTTGATTGGTACATATTTACATATATTGAGTAAAGTTTGCACCTCAGCTTCCATGTGGTTTTGGGCAGATTAAGCCAGTGCTTTGTTTACATTTTGTGCATTCCCACATTTCCGAATTGCATAAAAATATCTGAAAAACTAGAGGAGTAAACCATTTCAACCTTCACCATTTAGTTTGATTCAGGGTAACCTTTTTGCGTTTTATTTTATGCTTTGCAACACCTGATACAAGGTGATCTCTTTAAAGAAAGAGAATCAAAGTAAGAACTATGTATATTTAGGGTATTGCTTCACGTATGAAAGAAGTTACATCTTTTTAACTTAAAGTTTGATTTGGTGAAATTCGGGAACAACAATACACTGAAATGAAATCTCAAATATTATTTAAAAACGCGACATTTTTCACAATGTTAAATTTGAAGATTTGTAAATAGTGCTTTTACATTGTAATTTTAATAATTTAATTAATGCCGAATTCAACATCAGATTGTGTCAGTTTGGTTTTCATGTTGTAAGGTGCATATGTTCAAAGGAACACTTGCTGTTACCAGTAAAATTGTAAATTTCGAGAAATTTGAATGTGGTTCGGCGAGAGCTTCTGTAGCGTTATTGAGCTGTTTACCTCTTCATGGAGCAGCACACAGCAGCGTCTTCTTCAGCTGCTCCACATCTGTTGTTTCACTGCTCGGCTCTTGAGAAATAAATCTTCATTAAAAGCTGCTTCGACCATTTGAGGATGAATGAACTCATCTTTATCACGGCCCACCACAGCTCTGCCTACAACCATGATCCTTTCAAACTTTCAAAATAAGAGCCTTCCGAGACGGCTAATTAAGGAAAACAATKAAAACCTCCAATTTCTTAACAAAAGAGTTCCCCTTCTTTTGTTCATGTATTAATGTTATCATTGCTATTTTTAATTCAGAAGGAAATATTTCAAACGCATTTAGGACTTTCTTTCATTCAAAAAAGTGCAACTGTAATGAAATATAGGCAAGAAAAAACCTTTTATCTCAGCCTGAAAAAAAAAGTATTTCAATAAATAAAAGAGGAGTTATTCGAGTACAGTTTATAGTATATAAAAGGAAAACCATTAACTTCCAAAATTATCTTCTATGAAGTAAAATTTACATTTGGATTTTTAATAAACCTGTTTGATAAAACTACTGTAAGTTTACAGATGGACAACCAAAATCATGCCTTAAAAAAAGGCAAAGAGCAATCAAGCTAAATCTAATAGTTTTTAAAATGTGTTGAATACAAATATAAAAGCATATTCTTTACACTTGTGAAAAATCACATTTAAAATGCTACTACAAAAGAAGTTTGCCTCAGATTTAAATTTACATTTTCAGATTTTATTTTGTAAAAAAATAATTCTCAGTTCAGTTTATCTTGTTTATGCAAATACCAAGATTCAGAATCTGCTGAGATTCATGAAACTACAAAATATCTTATTCAAACATTTATTTAAAAAAACAAACAAAAGTGATTATTTAGCAGATTGAATGATTAACCTGCCATCAACAAAACATTTTTATGCCAACTGCTACAAAAACTCCTTCTGAAACAGTGACCTTGGATACTATTTTCAGCTTTTGTTACAATAATCACTGAAACAAACTTCTGGTTACAGAAACAGAAAAATGCAACAGTTAAGCATGAATCTCCAYTGGGTCAAGGAAAAAACAATAGATCAGAGTTCATCCAGCAGGGAAGAGGCGATTAAATCTGAACAGTGACCACTGAGGTCTTCTCTGGTAACAAAGCTGTGTTAAGTTTCTGTTAGTTGATGGTGAGAACGTCACTCTGGATCTCATGGCTCAGCTGGGTCTGCAGGTCGCTCAGCTTCTTCTTGAGGACCGCCAGCGCTGACATGACGATGGTCTCTGGTCGAAGAGAGCCGCACGACTCCACGTTGAAATAAAACCTGAACGATTTAAAAGTTTCTGTCAAGCTGAGAAAACTGCTCACCGACWTGAGACCCAAAAAAACCCCTAAAGATTAAATTTACAACCTTATTTTTTTCATAAATCTTTTGAAAATGTGCAKAAATTCAAAATTCTGTAGTATTTTTCATTTGCTGACCTTTCTGGTTTTCCATTTGGATCGTAGGGGGCCTGAACCTCATCCTCCTCAATCTCTGTGTATTCACTCTTTGGCCTGAAAAGAAAATACGTTAACTCATTTTGTGTTTCCACTTTATGGTGAATCTTCTAAAAAAATAAAAATAAATAAATAAAAGACGTACCATTCCTCAGGTCGTGGATAGACTGTGTGTCTCAGTGCGTTGTCTGGGTCATATTCAAAGGACACCCCTGCTGTTGGGTTCCACTTGGCGTGTTCCTTACCAAAACCTTTCTTTGCATATGCTCTAAGTCGGAGCTCCTGGCCTTTACGAAGCTTTACCAGCAAAATGTCTGGAACAATAATGCAGCAACAAAGATCAATAAAATACAAATAATAATAATAATCAAGAACTGACAAGTWTTAACTTTACCATCTTGCTCGACGTAGTCGTTTGGATCATTGTCTCGACTCCGGGAAGTCACCTGGAAACACAATGTCAGATTTCCCCACTGCTCTACGTTTTGACACCAGTAGCTGCAGAAAAAAATCTCACYGGAATGACTCTGGGGTTGTTGGACAACAGATCTCGTGATGTGACGTGACGCGTCTGATCCTCGGTACACCGGACGTCCAGCGTCAGCTCTACAGAGCACTCAGGACAGAAATCATCACAGGTGCAGTCCTGCAGGATGAGAAAAACTAGTTTTAACAATTCAACCACAGATAATAACTACTAACTTTTTTTATATGTATATTTACTAACTTGATTAGATCTCTTGCAGATTACTTTTGTGGTTATTTAATGCTCTAGTTAAAGTGTATCAAATGTTGACTCTTTTTTTTAAAAGGCAAAACAGAAAAAGTGATAATGCAAAACTGTTTTATTTAGGAATGCACAATAATAGTGGTTTGKCATTCAAATAGGCCAATGAATTTTCTATTTTGTAATATCTTGAAATATAGATCTTCAAKTATCTTGAAATTATGTCCAATCTGGTTTGCTTGGGGCTAATTTCACTGTAGTTGGAAGACAATCATTCAAGCTCATTAAAGTATGATGAGACTTTTTTTTCTTAAAGCAGATGTTTAAAGTGAAAAGGGAACTGTCACACACATTAAGCAGCATCAATAGTTCCTGCTGTAACTATTCACTTACCCTTGAATACTGCATTTTATCCACAATGTCATCACTGGTGAGAGGAATGAGTCCTGAAGATACAGAAAACACTCAAGTGATAAGTCCATTCTTCAAGTCTGTCTGCTCATACATCAGCTGTCTAACACTGCAACTAACACTGAGTTATTGACATACGTACCAACTCTGTGAGCTATGAACTCATCATGCAGTACGGATGAATTAGCATCAATCTGGATCCAGTCAATAGCTGTAAATACATGCAATGCAACACCACCACATTATTTTAAARCAAAACTGTGAAAGAACAAAGCAAGAGTGGATTTTCTGATCCTATAGTGTTTGTGAGTCTCTACACAAAACTAAATTATCCAAACCAATTATCTGTTTTAAATATATTTTCCTTTAATAAAAGTAATAACATGACTAAAAGTGATGTTTAAAAGGAACAGTAAAAGCACAAGATTACCTATTGTGGGAACTTCTGACATGAAAACACGGCGGAGAGAGTTTGCAACCCTAAAAGAAGAGAATAAGTGTTTTTAAAAGTCAMTGCTACATTATTTTATATAATGATGAATGAGTGATGTATTCAGTGTGTAAATGTAAAAAGTCAGATCTGGTTCTGTGCAATGCAGAAACTTTTAGTTAAACTATTAGTTAAGTATTCTTTAAGTACCTCAATTATTTTATTTAAACACAACAATTATTGTTAGTAATACAGTAACCATAAATCAAAAATTTTAAAAATAAATAAGGTTCTTTATTTMAAATATTTGATTAACTATTCTTGTTTGAAATTTCTCTTACAGATAGTTTTCATTTTATACAATAATGTAAAGAAAACTCATCTATCAATGAGAAATTCTAAAAAAAAAAAAAAAAGAGGGCACGTTTTATCATTTTTAAAGATTCAATAGACAATCAGGGATACAATAAAAACAGAAAATCAATAAATAAAACAAAGTTTAGTAATAAAACCTGTTGCAAAAAATCTATTGGTTCGAGGTTAACACAAATTTCAGAGCGTAGATAACAACAAGCTTTAAACAGCAAGTAAATATACTAAATTTAAAACAGTTTAAAACATCCCAATGCAAAGTTGGTTAGTAATTTGTTTGAAAATTAATGATGTACTTGACATTAAACTAGTTGTTGCACCTTTATTAAGCATGCTTAATAAAGCATGCTTTATTAAGTAGGTTTTAATCCATCCAGTTTTACTTATTTGCTATACATTATTTATTAATTTTTAAATATCATTTCAAACAAAATCCACCCAGTTATTAAATTTCCTTTCATAAAAAATGAATAAATAAAAAATACTTCTTTGTTATTTTGGATATTCTCGTTCGTGCTAATGGATGCTCACATTCGAATAGAAAAATTWAAATATACTTACGCCAAATCTGTGTTTTCTATGACGAATTTCACATTTTCATCCGTCAACTCTGTAATTTTCACCGTAGGCTGGTTAGCATAAGGCATTATTGAAGTTTATTTAGTTAAAAACAACGAAAAATCATCTAAGCGCTTCTGTACAACMGCTTGCGCGCTGATTTAGCTTGTAGGCCTGACCGGAAACATTCACGGCTGATTGGTTAGAAACCGTAAACGTAGCTAACGATTGGTTGAAACAACGAGTTAGAGGCGGGTCTTGATTTTCACATCCGGGTTAGTTTTTCTCCAAAATAAAAGCGCTTATACATAAATGTTCTATGAAGAGATTCATTTACACTAGAGCTGCACGTTTTTTTAAAATTACATATTTAAATACCTGTTGAGCTCTAAATTCCTGAAAATATTAAATAAATTAAGAGAACTTCCATACCCAGCTTTTCTTATACTTAAATATATTGCAAATATTTTTATATGCTTGTTTGCAGTGAATAAATGTTGAAATGATTCTCTCTCCATCTGTATGTATGTATGTACAATATGTATGTATGTGTGTGTGTGTGTATGTATGTATGTATGTATGTATGTATGTGTGTGTGTGTGTGTGTGTATATACTGTATAATCTGTTTTATACTAACTAACTTCAATGTTTGTAAGAAAAATTAAAATTTACACAGAAATTTGTTAAATATACAGTAACTATTTTATTGGTGTATAGTTCNATTTTATTGGTGTATAGTTCCACAAACAAATTACATATTTTCCTGTACTTTACAACAGGAAAAATATATATTTGATATGTAAAATTTTAAAAGCAAAGTGAAACAGTTCAAAGCCCATGATTCTGCAGATGAACAGAAAGACAGTGACAGCCTATACACACACATATATATAACACATCAGGAAGTTTACTTGTTAAAGCCATAATTTATTTCTGTTTGAGCCATAGCATGCAAATAAACAAAAATATAGAAGCAAAATAAATTGATCTAGAGCTCATGAGCCCAATGCTTAGGTTCAGTGTGACAAGAAAGATGTTTACATCATCGCCTCTGGTTTAGTCCTGTGAGATTCTTCAGCTGTAAAATAAACAAGAGAGTTACTATAATTTAAAAAAATAATAATGTTATCATCAAAAAGGTTTTCATCCCTCATTAGCAGTAAAATGTGTGGGATATATTTTATGCTTACAAATTTAAGCTAATTGAGTTAAAGATCAAGGTTATGACTTCAAGTGTTGTTTTCCAAGGAGCATAAAAATGATTGAGACAAAAGACTCACTGTGACAGCAGCTCCCATGAGCCCCTGCACCACAGCTTCACCAGTTGCCTGCACCTACACAACAAAGTGGAAAAATTACATGTCTACGACTGGTTGTATTCATTCTAGTGTTTGTGTCTATTTGTGTTCCGATCTAAGTACAAAACATCTTGCTCTGTAAAGATTTTCCCCACAACACAAAAATATGTACAATAGGTTGCCTTCAGACCCAGGCTGCCCTTGAAAAAGAGATTTGTGGTCTCATTGGGATTTACCTGGTTAAACAATGGTAAATAAATAAATAAAAATATAGAAAAAAAATTGGTGCTACCAAGAGTTTGAGTTTGTTTACGCCTTTTCTGTGGCTCTAACAATTCTCTACCTGCTTGGCTGTGGTGGCCATGTTGACTACGTCTTGTATGCGATTATCAAGGAACTTCCATGTGTCTTCAAAGTCTGGGGAGGAATCTTGAAGCATCACCAGCTCTGTAGTGTTAAAAATACCTGTCAGCGCTGCACGTTTGGTGTACCAGTTCATCTGCAAAAGTAACATACCACACAGTGAGCTTTTAAATATTTGAAAAAAGCACAGCACGGTTACATAAATATAACGTAAATTTACTGTCTTTAAAAACAAAATGGTTCAAGAATTGGATAAAATGTACAGAGATGTTTAGTGTATGAAACAGAAATGAAACAATAAAATTAGAAAGAAAGACAAGAAGTGAGTTTAAACTACTAATCCAAAGTACAAAACATTTTACAGAATATTGTAAAATTGTAAAAATATATGTAAAAAACAAAAAACAAAACTGTGACATTCAAGTCTTTGTTTGAGGTAATTGTAATTTGCTAAATTATTTTATAAATTCTAGAAATAAGTCATGTATAAAGTGACTTATTGCCGGATCTTATAAGCTTTAATTTCCTAGAACTACACAAAGAAATCCTTTTTTACATTTAACTTTCTTTTCTATTGACTAACATTAATTTAAGCAATAAATCAAACAAAGACATGGAGGAACTTTAAAAAAATTAAATAAAAATCTTTTCATTCTATTTATTTTGTTTCTGTTTTAGTTTAACAGAACATGAAATGCCACAATGATTGGTTTTACTGTTAAACTGAGACAATAAAAACAACATCTGCCAGCTGTTAGTATTAAGTTTGACCATGATGTAAACAAAGATGACAAAGATATAAACAGATGTTTGGGGGTACGAGCACTCAGGGTGGGGGGCGTTAGTAACCTGAGCAGTAGCAGGCCGGATGTTGTTTGGGTGTTGATGAAACGGGGACAAGAAGCTGTGAGTAGAAGAAAAAGGGGACCGGGGATGATAGGATCCACTCACGTCTGTGGATCGGTCTCCAGCATAGTACCAGATGTCGTCCACCATGGTGGACAGGTGCTTCAGACTGTCGGGGATGTTGTGAGGAAGGAGCAAGATGCTCATTGCCTGAAAGCAGAAATTAAAGAATCAAATGCAGTTTGGTATTTTTCTTGTGACTTATTTGTTTCTGCTGAGTCATCAGTTTATACTTTAGTTTACCTGTGGCCATGCTTCAATGTAAGGAATATACATCCTAAGTCTGGTCTCTACTGCATCTTTTAGAAATTCTGCAGTCTTCTTTGGTCTGTAACACAGTTAAACTGTTAGTCAGTTTTATACGTAGGTCTAACAAATACTAAATGACACATTTCTTAAAGGAAATTCTTAGAAAATAAAAATCGTTATTCAGAATTAGATCAATGCATAGTTCTTTAGAAAGGATTTTGTATTATTTCTGAAGGACTGGGTCCTCTCATGCTGAGAAGAATCTCTGTGTGTATGTATATAAAACAAAAAAAAAATCCATCTTTCCTAAATATTAAAAAAAATACCCACTTTGTTCTGTTCCAAGTTGAACTAAACAGTGAGGTTGTGTTTACGTACTCGACCTGGCCTTGCTGGACCTGATTGTGTTGATCAGCCAGGATCTCTGTCAGATTAGCGTTGCACTGGGCAATGAAATGTAGGACCAAATCTCCTGCTCCGTTAGAGAACATGCCAGTGGATGCTGAAGACAAACCCAGAGACTGGAACAACAACAGCAAAAACATTCAATGACTTATCAACATTACAAAGTCTAAAGTCTCTGTTTAGGGCATTACTGCTCATTTATGTTTCCCCTGCATACAGCTACAGCTTTAATGTGGTACATCCAGATTATAATAAATCAAAACAGGTTTTTCTCACATATACCCTACATCTCACAGAYAATATAAACAAAAATATTTTAAAGTTTAAAAATAATCTTGTCATGTAAAAACTAAACATTACAACATGAAAAGTCATAAATAATGATGTTGATAAACTGCTGATAGAAAAAAAACACAATATGTATTAGAAATTAGGACTCTTAAACTATAAATATGTGAGTATGTTTAACCACATTTGATGTATTTTAAGCTACATGTTAGTGATCAGACTGCTGTCAAAATGAAATCTCACCTCTGCACCGGCTGCGATAGCTTCCATTGACCAGCCGTGCTGCGGGACAAACTCCAGAGCTGCAGTCAAGAGACGAGCACGCAGCTGCTCCTCTGTTTCATACTCTTCCTGCCCCTGGTCACTTTGGTGGATATGAATTTATGTTTGAGCATAAAAGAAACACAAGAAGAGTGTAAAGTTAGCTTTTTTTAGAGAAAGAAAACTCAGCCAACTGCAAAAAGCAAGTAGCTAACAATTTCCTTTTTTTTCCCTTTTGACTTACCCGATGTTTGTCCCCTCTGCTGTTGGATCAGAATCATACTGGGAAGCTGTCTCTGTATTTTGTTCAGCTGAATAAGCCTGGTAATGCTCATGGTGGGATGAGGATGATGAGGATGATGATGAAAAAGAAGTGGATTTGTCAGATTTGGATTCATCCTGGAGCCTCAGAGCTGCACAGCGAAAGCCTCGTCTCAAGCTGCTGAACTGGGGATTTGTTGTTGTTGGTGCAGCGACCACTGAAAAGGGAAAATGATTTGAATTACTCTCTGAAAGACTCAGATTGGGCCTGCTTACTCAACAAACCCAGTCAGCATCTTTATTATTTTTCAAGAGAGGATGCTTATCATATTGTATATTAAGAGGAAATGGCTTTTTGTGTTGTAATCTGACAAGTTTGGGTGAATTTGTTCAAATTTTTTCTACTGATTATTTACACACATATATAT